ATTATTCTCACTTCAAACTACTGTCCTTGACTTCAAAAAGCTTGCAATGTTTTAAACTTCAAAACTCATACGATCAGATTTAGCTTCTTGTACTTATCATTTTGACTTCAAACTCCCTCAAAATGCTTGCAAATCCGAAAATCATCAAATAATCTGTATGAGTTTATTAACTATCTAAACTTTGTCATTGCATAGTAATAAAATAAACATGATTTTAAATTTTGTTTTAATTTTGCAAAATTTTAACATGTGGATTTGCACATTATCTTTTAATATCAATTTTTATGAACAAATCGATAAAAAAAAATGCTTGATCGGACATTACACACAAAAACACTAAAGATACATAGTTTATCACTGTGTATTACATTCACAAATGTATTCAATTAGAAAATACTTAAGTGTCATCAAGATCTTTTGTGAGGTTTTTTATGATGGGAGTTTACATTTAACCCAAATTGAAATTAAAGTAATCCATATTAGTAATGAAAATCTAAGTTTATTCATAATTTTAGAACATAAGTTCATAATATTCTTAAAATAACATTAAATTATGATCTTTGTCTTGATGCAAGATTATACAATGTCAAATAATTGATGAAGGGAGCCGTTAGTCACCACTCACCTCCAATTTTAAAGAACCCTTGCGCACTTTTCTCGTGCTCCGATTGGGTGTAGGGTCCCCGCTTGCTGCACTTGGCTGGGGTCTGGCAGCCAATGCTGACTTCACACCGCAACGGAGACAAGGAGCCGTGTCTCGTGTCCCTGACCCGGAGATCGGAGTTCGAATCGTAGAGGAGATAGAGTGCCGGCCCTTGGCTCGAAAGCGACCATTTGCCTGTCTCAAAGTGAGAGTGAGAGTTCGAGTAGCATTGTTCTGCAAAGAAAAGCCGAGCAAGGCCAACGGAAGCATCAATGGCATCGTCCGCGCGTGTCCGCGCGACCCAAAGCGCTTTGGGGCGCTATCATGCTTCATGTTATTTAAATTGGAGTTGAGTGGTGAATAGCGAAAAGTGAGTGATGACTAGCGGCTTCCTTGATTAATTATGTATATGTTAAATATGAACAAGATCAAGTTGAAACAAAATCTATTATTTGGTATATATATACCTAAAGATAAATACATGAATTGAAATCTATATTTCAAAAGAGTATAATTTAGGATCTATTTTAATTCAAAACTACTTAAAAGAAATATACACTAGCAATAAAATGAGTAAGGAGTAAATTTAGTTGAATAGTATTTGCAATTAAATAAGATTAATGCAATACATTACAAATTTTTAAACAATTTGCATGTAAATGTAAACGTAAAATATATCGTAATAGATATTATTATATAAACATAAAATTTGTTTCATAATATGATTGAACTATTTAAAATTGATACTAATTTCTATTTTTGTTTAGAAATAATTCATTTAGGAATTTTTAAAAAAATTATGGCACATTTTAGGTTATGCGTATGACTACAAGTAGAATTTATCAGTAACTATATTATTTTCCGATATATTTTACTTTATTTCTTCTAAGCTATAGTTTAATTCTAATCAATATGATAGATTCAGTACAAATATTTTTTCTAAAACTTTTCATGGTTATCATAAAGTTGATATAATTTATAATATCCAAGATATGGATTAGGAGGAAAAAAGGGAGTTAATTCAGATTTTTTTAACTCTAGCTAGTTTAATTATGATTAGTTAGACTATTTAGCATGTCATGATATACAAAAGCTACACCAAGTAGAATAATTACTCTAGATTGGCAAATAGTCTGGATTCTTAAATAGTTTGGTCTAGACTAATACATGTTTCTATCTGTAATATAAATCTGCATGAGTGACGGATAGCACATACCTATTGTAGTTCAAACTACGCACCAAGCGTATTTCGCACTTAAGACTGATATGCGATAGGTCAACGCTGCAACTGCCTTGGCGGTTTTTTGCGCTTTCCACAATTTGATGTTGCGTTTTTTGTCCTCTCCTATTATAGCTGATTTCGCTCGCTCTCAAGCTTCTCGGGAGGAGATCGTTAATCAGGAAGAAGGAACAGTTTACAAGGAAGAAGTCGCTGATCAAGAAGAGTATGTGGAAGAAGCTTATCAAGAGGAATTCTCTTAGGCAGACACACATCCAAAAAGAAAGCTACAAATGATTTCTATTGGGAGTCGCCGTGTGGTAGTACGTTGGATGATGCAAGAATGTGATTCCAACGGCAAGAAGCCAAAGGAGCAGCAAACTTTTGGCATCTTTCCCGTGGATCCTACAAGTCAAATATCCAAAAAGCGTCGTCATGGTGAAAACTCAAAAACTAGTCCTCAAAGGCCGGTGAGCATCCCGAGTCTTTGAAGAGGAATCAACAGTTCAAGGCTACGAGAATGAATTTCAAAGTGGTGGCAAGTCGTGGCCGTAAGACAAAAGATTGGTTGACTCACATGTATGTAGAACTCAATGAGGAGTTCCACCAACTGCAAAAAACGAGGCTAAAGTTCTCAACAGCCTTGCTTGGCACTCTGGCTAGAGACATTTTCAAATCAGATGGAGAATTCAATGCGGATTTTAGAGATGTAGACGACAAACTGATTCTTGACAAAATTACGACAAGATGGGTTCAAACATTCACGGCGAGACACAACATGTTTGTGCGCGCTCAGATTGGAAAGCTGTTATGTAGTCCAGAGAAAAAACTTCATGTTGAAAGTACCATCGCGTACCACTTGAGCGAACTATTTAGAGCATTTTTATCTGGCGAGTTGGATGAAAACCTAATAAAAAATATGGGTGTCACTCATTGCTTGATGAATGTTGATAATGGTCAAATCCTGGAAATAGGGGAGACAACGATGTCAAATACGCTGATGTTGTTTACAGAGGAGAGTGTATGATCATGATGGTCCGCATTACAAGGGGGTATCCTCACATATAGAGGCACCGATGATCATCTTCACGAACAAGAATAGATCCTATCTGATTTAGGATTTATTAGATGATGTGCCAGGTGCAAGCTATCGCACAGGGCCGAAAGGGTGGAATAATATGCAGGTAATTCCGCAATGGTTCTATGAACCACGTGCTTTTCAACCTGATCGTTACGGGAGACAAAAGTTATTATTCCTAGACAATTGTGGAGTTCACAATGAATCAGATTCGATGACTAGAACCAATACAACTTTTCGGTTCTTCCCTCCATGTGCTACTAACAAGGTTCAGCCGACAAATGCTTTTGTTATTTCCAAGATCAAGGATGCTTGGACAAAACGATGGGAGAGCAAGAAGATGAAGATGATCCGAGAACAAGAGTGGTCAAATGGAGTTCGCCGCGATGGCGGATGGTCGGACAATCTGCTGAACCCGGGAAAAAGATTCTTTTTGCAGTTGGCAGCGGATTCTGTTAGGGATGTAAACATGCAACACGATGCTAACGGCCTCACCTATGCTCAAAAAGCCATGATTCATTGTGGGTTGGCACTTGATGTGAGAGGAGAATGGCATATCAAAAAATTAACGCCGGAGTTGCAGGCGATCATAATGAAACATCGCAACCACTTTGATGGAAAAATTGTTCCCGATTTGCAAATGAGCGGACCTTGATGGAATACACATGATAAAAAATAAACTTCACTCTTGGCGTTTCTTAAACTTATTTTTCTGATGCATACTATTTTAGAATATTCCTAAATAGTCTGATCCAGATTGGTTTTTGAAACACACAAATAGTCAGGATTCCTAAATAGTCTGGTCCAGACTAATCTATGGTTGGCATCACAAAAACTCATGTTCAAAATGAGTCTGATCTAGACCAAATACTGTACTCGGTGTAGTGGTAGCTCCATTAGACACAAATTAAAGAATTGGATACATGATATATTGTGTTTAGTGGCAACCATATGAATAGCACCTTGGAAATACATGTTGCTATGAATGTTGATCTTGACCTTAAAATAAATCTGAACAAAAAATGTATGTCTCGTGTGAGTAGATAGTGTAGTAAGGAGTGAATATACTTAGCATCTACATGATAATGTAGTCTTAAAAAATGTGTGAAACTATAATATAATTGAAATGCTAATGTCACTCACAATTTTATTGTTACATGTTGAATGAATATGTGAAGTATACACTTGTACTTTGTAATGCTTGAGGTGATATATGTATATACATTTGTTTATGATCATAGATGTATATCAAATAAAATTTGATAATTTTTGTGCATTTTTGGATCTTAAAAAATTAACCTTGTATGATCTAGACGAGACAATGCCCATGATGTATCACACCTCCGTTATAAGATTAGACATGGTGAGTAATGAAAATAGTAACTAACAGAAAGGTACCCATAAATCTGCATTGTGCTTAATTTTTGTGTATCACTTTCCACTGCAAGAACATAATACTAAATTATAGATAAGATGAATACTATCATCTATTTAATCCAGTAGCACTTATGAAATATTTTCCATACTTTGGTATTTTCTACCCATATATCGATAAAATTCACATGAAAGTGAAGAAATGTGGAAGAAAATCAGATCCATGTACATAATTTGAGAAAAATCAGATACAATCTCAAATTTTGTAAATTGGATAACTAAACTTTATTAAATCTCAACATTGTTTAAATGAAATAGTGTGATTCCAAATTTTTTTATATCTATTCACACACTGTGAAATTTTGGGAAACATAAACTTAGGATCTCTGAGAATTTTCTATGGGATTCCTATCGAACTCTATACACCGTATAACTCCCTTTTATAAGGAAGCATTTGAATCACTTGTTAGATTTGAAACTAAGTTCATATTTTAGTAAAGCATTGTATATTTACTATGCAATTGGAGAACATTCTTTCATCATTAAAGTCGCAGAGAGGCGAGAGTGAAAAATATGGTTTGTTACTCGACAAGATGAGCAGTGCTCGGGCCTGGACGTCTAATTCATGCAAAATCGCAACGAGAATCTTTGAAGGCTCGTGTCGACGGCAGTGCGTGTCCGACGCCAAACACTAGCGATGCGGACCGTGCGTATATTGTCAGAAGATACTGCCAATTAACGGCGAGCTTTCCCGTGCGACGTTTGCCGGCAGGCAGACTGGAGGAGGCTGGAGTCTAAAGCTGTGACCACCTTAATAACACGAGGCAAAGGCAGAGGCTGGGCCACGGCCTCGGCCTTGTCGCCCTTGGCAGGGACGGACCACAAGGCCGCGGTCCAGAAAGCAGGACATATATTCAGACAGCGAACCTTCAATGATGAGCAGAATTTCAGATACGGAGTAGACTTGTTGAGGGCGTTGCTGCGTGGTCCATGAATACGGAACTGAATAATTCCGGAAACTTCCGAGACTGCCTGCACCTCTGGAGTCCGGACCCCGACACCATTTGGCTACATAGGTAGAGTGAGATCAACAACTAGTCTTCAATTCAGAATGTCGTTTCGCGTTGCAGCTTTCTCCTTTTAATTTTGTCGATTCTTCCCTTCCAGCAACCGAAGTGCCTCTGGTGTACCTAATCTCGACTCACTTTTCGCCTAATAAGAGCATGTGGGGAACGAAACCAAATTTTTTCTGGAGTGTGACAGGGTTGCGGTCACATCGACGGTCATAGGCTCGTTGTCTTCAGAAAGCTTGCTGATGTTCTGCTCGAGTCGGATGACGGAGTTCAAGAAAGGTCATCAGAGGTCATCGACATATCATGCTTTCCGCATGCCTCTGCTCCGGTTCTCTAGAAACTAGAAACCTAAAGCTAGAAACCCTATGGGGAATGAAAGTCTTGCATAGGATGCTCTCTTTTCTTCGTGACTGCTATTTGGCTGTATGCTTCAGTCTGATGTCGCGCGTGGACTTCAGGGTTGTTGATTCGTCCTTAGTAAGACGTATGTTAACGTGATTTAGTGGTAGCTCTTGTTTGCAGTTGATGTGAAAAACGTGAAAATCATGTGAATCGAAAGGGATATAAATATTGGATTACGTTTCTGGAGATTCTCTTTTACCATCACTTCTTAAAGGAAATGTTACTCATTGCATGTTCTGCAATGTGTGAAATTCGGGAAAGTCGTAAATTGCTATCAGGATAATACATTTCTAAGTTGAATTCTAAGTATGTAAGTTAGACTCACCAATTCTTGGTGCGGGATGAGTGGAAAGTGCTACCTACTTTGTGATTGCATATCGTACATCTGACATTTGAAACACTGATAATTTATACTCCTTAATGCGACATTTTTGAATTCAATTGTAAGTTTGTAAACTAGTATCATCTACGCTTGGTGCGGGTTCACTAGATAAGTGTTGGCTATTATATAATTACATATAAGACATGTCACATGTGTTATATGTGACATGTGTTATATTCGGGATCCTCTGGCTAATGTCACATGTGACATTAGCCAGAAGATTCCAAATATATGAGTTTGCAGAGTTAACATATCAATTTTTCCCTAGTATTGAAATTGTAGAGTCATGTTCGTGGGAGACTTCATTATGGCCTAGAAACGAGACTACTTAAATATCGCTTTTAAGCCTATATTGGTTAGCCTGTCTACATTGATATATAGAGAGCATTACCTGGTGCAATACTTATAATAAGGATCATGTCAGGTGATGCTTTTCCATATACTAATCTGATGTGTAAACCTTTTGTCTCATATAATTCAGATATATTAATTATCAACGTGAGCCTATATTCATTATACTCCTATATTCTGAGTATAATGTTCATTGTGATGTTAATGGGATATAGTCACATCTTGTCTGTTTATCTATTATTCTACTAAGGTTAACTCTTGTCATATGTCGGTTAGAATTCGGTTCGGTTTTGACTACTAAGGACCGCGAAACCTAGTTCGCTCCTCTAACATTATCTCAAATTTTTTTGACAGTATAACTCTCATGTCCCCGTGGAGTAGACAAGAGGCAAATCACCTACTTCTCCCGTCAAGCTTGCTTGCAATTTCGGTGATTGTTTTCTATTTGTTGTATTTTGGTTATTACAAATGATACAATAGCGATTCAATGATGTTTTGAAAGTGCGCGAGAGCGACGACAGGAGCGTGCGAGTGGTTTGGTTTGAGCTGCGAGCAAGTAGTAGGAAATAAATGCCACTGTGAGCAGATTGTTGTTTCGTCTTGTCGGATTGATCCGAAATTGAATTGGACCACATTCTGCTGTTGCTGCCCCATAAACGTTTCCGCCTTAGGATCGCAGCAAGTGTCTAAGCTTCTCCCGTATCCAGCATTGAAGCATCTTTCTCTCATATAAGTATTCTGCCACACGCCCATCGTTACTACCTTGCGCGCCTTGAAACGCAATTGGCCTAGAAATGTTCATTGGAGAGTTATCGAGCAGATTTCTTTGCGGGTAGCGAGACACTAGGAGCTATTTATCCGTGGGCTTTTGTCGAGTCATATTGGTTGGGGCAAATGGATGCTTCGACACTTGGAGAGTATAATTTGGCAGCAAGAACAACAATTTGACTATAGAAACATGGGTAATTCTGCACCCGTTTATATAGTCAAATTGTTGTTCAAACATTTCTCACATGGCAGATGTTCCACTCATAGGCTAGATTTTCATCAACTCGTGAGGAGTAGACAAGATCTTAGTGATCTTCCGTTCGATTTGAGGCTTCTGAATTTACAAGAGTTTAGAAGCAAACAACCTCCGAACACAAGATGTCTCTACTCACCTCTTGCTAAAAGTTTGAAAAAATAAAGATCAAGACCGTTTGTACCAAAAAATAAAAAGTAGTAAGGAAACCTATTGAGAACTTTATCATCTCCTCCTATTCTAGTCGTTGCAGATTCACCAATTAAAAAAGTTTCAAAGAAGACGCCATACAGCAAATTGGTTTTGATATTTATGCGTATGTGAAAAATATAGCAAGAAAACTATATTCTTCACACACAGTTTTCTTGCTCTCATCTCCAATCCTAGTAAATTTCCAAGTCTGTACTTTCAAGTTCCTCATACAGAGGTTATAGACATTGATACTCAAATCATCATACTTCTAATTCATGGATTTCCATATAGATGATGCTGATCCAAGATTTTAGTTCCAAAATGAGATGATATATTATCAAGGATTGATTTATGTCTCAGAAGGTTCATGCCCACTTCAAATGCTCCAGATTTGACACAACTTTCTATTTGCGGTACATTTTTATTACAATTGATCATAGAGTTAATATCAAGAGATGTTTGATGGCCACAAATATGAAAAACAGTAAAGAATTATGTCACAATATGTGACACTTGCTCTAGATACAAGTTACATCGTCATCGGTCATACAAAATACTTCCATTGCTACCAATTCCAAACTTTCATGTTCATGCACATCTATGGACTTCATTGTGGATCTTTCAAAGTACAAATCTTTTGATACAATTTTTGTTGTAGTGTATCGTTTGACAAATATGATACACTTTTTGCTACCAGACTATGACAAGTAAAAAAAATTTCTTGAAGAATGTGTAAAAATATTTTGGACTTTCAAATCATATCATGATTGATATTGATAAGAAATTTACATCCAAGTTAGGCCTATTCATGTTCAAAATTTTCCAAGTTAAGATCAATCTATCATTAGCGTATTATCTTGAGACGTATGTACAAATTAATCTAATGAATCAAGCATTAAAACAATATTTGAAATGTTTTATCAAATATCATTCAGAAAGTTGGATGGATCTACTTCCAATCGTAGAGTTTGCCTACAACAATACATTTTAAAAGTTCATCCAAAAAAAATCTATTCTTTGCAAACTATGAATATCGTTCATGATATGATTCTTTGAATTTGAATTTGAGTTTGAGTTTGGAAAAAAATGTTGTTATCATTACTTTGGAGATCTACAAAGTTATGAATTCATGGCTTGTAGAAGCTCAAAAGCGGTAGAAAAAAAACGCAAACACATTTTTTTAAAATATCCAACATTGGTTATCGTGAGAAGTTGCTATCAACTTTCCAATATAAGAGTAATGTCTAGCAATATATACTTGAGTCCCATCAACGATAATTTGCTCATCCAACTCTTGTTTTACAAGAATTTGCTCCATTTGAGTTTTCTCGATTTTGCAAAGTTTTTTTCTTGTGTCATATCATTGATCATATAATAATAAATTTTCCCCTCAACAACATACATGAGTGGAGATTTATCATTGTCAGAAGTATAATTAATGAAGTTATTTTCGTTCAATAATATGAATTCTTAAAAAGAAATATCTCTACGTATAATAACTTTACAAACTACTTGTATCTATAGCCTATAAATCTTAACATCACTAGCTAATTGCTCATAAAAATTAAATAATTTGATGTCAAAAGGGGAGCTTATAAATTTTTCTCTTCTTTCAATGAAAAAAATATGCCTACATACACTAATTCTACATCCTTCTGATATCTATAGCCTATACATCTTAACACCACTAGTTAATTACCCATAAAATCTGAATCATTTGATATTTAAAAAGTACAAAAAAATATTACAATGTGACATATGTGAAAGAACTAAGCATTATCTAGATCCATACATCATCAACATACTTTGGTGAATTGTATAAAGTAAATATCTAGCATCAAAGTTCATCATCTAGCAAATGATACTCTTTGGGATCAAACTCTTGAGCCACAATGCGTAACAGAGAATCTGCACTTTTGATCTTCACACAACAATCCTTCTTATTGTGTACTCTCTTGTCATATGTCCAATACTCTATGATCTTCTTCTTTAGAAATTTACTCTACATTTCAGTATACATTTAGATCCAAAACGGTTGTAGATCTTATGATAACGTGAATATGAACAATCTCAAATCATAGTTTATGATATATCCCAAAAATGACTAAAAATTTAACAACAACAATTTTTTCTGTAAATCTTCAATCAATAGAGGAGTTATTTTGCGGTTGTCAACTCTATGTTAATAAAACAACTAGATTGAAGTGAGAAAATCAAAAGTTATAACATTTGAAGTGAGAAAAGTGAAAGTAATTTTATTGAATGAAAGAGTAAATATAACTTGTGTTGACGAGAGTAAAGGACATGTTTGGCACTAGATTGAGATTAATCACAATTGTCTACTAGGAGATCATAAAATTGGATTAGTATGGCTCTTATAAGATCTGGATTATGGGCTGATTCATCCATTTTTGAAAATTTTGACACTGATATAGAAAATGATGATGACATTGTATTAATCTTGTAAGAATAAAATAGTTTTTTATAGAAAAAAGCTCAAGTCTTCATTTATAAGTTTGAGTGAAATGCTGCTATGAAGCGTAAAATGCAATTGTTAATCAATCACAAGACTTGAAAATTTCTTTTCAAAGCCAATTTGATAGCTAAAGATTTCACTTAAGTAAAAAATATGGATTACAACAAGATCTTTTGATATGTAGCAAAGTATTTTATAATTTGTCTAGTATGTATATTTGTTGCAACATCTAGTCTAGTTATAGAATTTGTAATAATGTTCCGCCATATTCCTCTAAAGTGAGAAATGTACAAGAGAAAACCTGTTAACTTTTAAGGTAAAGGTGAAAAGAAGTTTATTTATAAATTGGTGAGATCATATTTGGAATAAAAAGAAATTAAATAGTGAAATGCAAGATTTGTTGAGATAGTGAAAGCATTACAAATCTCCACATATTGTAAATGTATGAAATTTTTTAATCTCATTGTTTTGATATTCTACTTGATTGACATGTTCATTTTGATAAGGATTCATTTTTGCATTAATGTACATCAAACCAATGTACATCAATGCAAAAACTAGTTAAAATCTACATTTAAGATAAAATATTTGGATAAATTTAAAAAAATATTCTTGATGCATATTTTTAAGCATTTGATAAAAAAAAATTATGATTGATTTAAAACAAGTATATGACAAACTTCACAGTTGTAGAAACTCATTTGATAGCGCATTTCAAACTTTTTGTAGCTAAATGTTCAACGCTAAGGAATAAAGATGTTATGAATTTTCTATAACAAAGTTATGAGTTGTTTCATATATCTAATGATGTGCATAAGTCCTAATATTGTTCTAGATTTGTACAGGATCAGCAAGTATTTGTCAAATAGAGTAAAATTGCATTGAAAACCATTGAAATATATTTTTACATACTCAATGAATACTAGGTGTTTTTATTGTTTGATGATTTATTACACAATATCAAATTCTTGCTAAGTTATGTTGATGATGAACATTAATCACATTTGGATAAGAATAAATCTACAACAATAAATGTGTTGACACTTGATTATGAATGCATTAGTTAGAGATACACCTTGCAAAATTGCACATCTCAGTTTATAACAAAAATAAAGTATAAAGCAACAGCAAAAGCAACAAAGTAAGCTATTTGATTGAATAGTCTTATCAACTAGATAAAATTGGAATATGATATTGTCAATTTAAATGTAATAGCCAAAATGAGTTAAATTTTGCTGCAAATCAAATGATGAACAGTAAAGTGAAATATCTTGACATCAAATATCACTTTAAAGACATGCAGTTTTTTATTAAAGAATTAAGTTAGGCAAGATTGATGATATATTCAATCTAGTTGATGTGTTGACCAGAGTTATTACTTTAAAGAGTTTAAGGAGACATTGTGCTGCTATGTAGGTTTTTACATAAGGAGCACAAATACAGCTAAATCATGTTTTGGCTAATGTTTAGTTCTAGTTAGCTCTAATTCAAAAAAAAACTTATGTTATGTTATGTTATTCTCGACATGAGTGAAGGTACAGAATGTGGAATTAATTCTTGTCAATTGTCTACATTGAATCCAGATTGGAATTCAATTCAATTTTGATTACTAAGGATGATGAAACCTTGCTTGAAGAACTAAACATCAATCATATACTTCTTTTATTGAGATTGCGAGCAATATTGATGATTGATTCCTAATTTTTTGAATTTTATTTATTTCATATTCATGTATGTGTTCTAATATGCACTGCATATGAGCTTTGTGTTCATATAAATTTAAATTATTTTGCTCCTATATGTACGTAGATCATGTTTGTATGAATGCTTGGTATCCGAACAAAAAGTATATTTCACAATTTCTTGTAATAAAAAAGACAGAGTGAATAAGGATAAAGATATTCTTTTCTCATTGCACAAAAGAATAAGATTTTGAAATTCAAAATTACTAACATTACAAATTGCTAATGGCTGATTCCAAAACATAGTAGTAGTACAATGTGAATCAACATTGATAAGTAATAATGTGTGTATATATATAGATATATATATATATATGAATGATATCCATTAGAAAATTTTGAAATTTCAGTTGAATACTCTAGACATAGAATGATAATAAATGCATTCAAACATGATTGAAAGGAGGAAAAATCAACATGAATTGATGGCAAAATTTATCAATTTTTTTCACTTTATCTCTTTTGACTTGAATAATAAGAATTATGAGAAATTATACATGGTTCTTATCATATTTTCAAATGTTTTAACTAACCAAATTAACTCTTGAATGAATGAAAAATAATTCTTACATTATTCTATAAAGATTAACATCTCTGACTTTAAAAACTGTTTAAATAATATGAAACTGTATATGTTTGACTACATCAATATGATGTCCAACTTCATGTACTAACTACAATTAGGGTTTATAAGTGACTAATCTCCTGCGTCTTTTGTTTTATTCTTTCATAAATTCTTGTAAATCATGTTCACATTAAACTAGTGATCTAGATTTGAAAAATATTCTTCACACAATCAAAGGATATAATAATTACCAATTTTACGTTGATGTTTAGTTAGAACCGATAATTAAAGCTCGTAAACTAAGACATCACACTTTGAAAGAATGAACATGCTTAGAGGACACCAATAGACAAATTGTGCTTTTAAGATTTATTTCTGCTCGTTTAATATGTGAGTGACATCGATTTTGAACATACAAGGTGTGACACTAACTAGTAAATAACTATCAGGGTAATATATCGAACCTACTACCTACCTACTAGTTAATTACTATTAACAATAAGAGAAAAAAACTAGAATATTACAATTCTTAGGAATGTATTCAAGAGACTGTGAGTGAGACCACATTAACCTTGGTGTTTGTGAAGTTAAGAAGTATCTATAGCATCTTGAGAAGACGAGAATCTTACATCACATTAAGTTTAGATTCGCGGAAATTAGTTCATTTCCCTTTAAAAATGGGGCATTCAACAAAGAATCTGAACTTTATACAATGTACATATGTTGTTAATACTCTAATGAGGTATCCGTTTTATTAAGGTGATGGAAAAGATCTGACACTTAGTGGTAAATCAAAGACTTTGCAGAAAGACATCAATTCAGTTTCGCTCTTACACAGACTCTACTCGGCATGACGATATCTCATCTTCTGAAGAAAATTGCTCCATAAACCGGGATCCTTCACTTCGCTGTTAATGTACCTGTCCAGAAGTAGGTCCACACCAAATATATAGATAGACCACCTAGAAAGAGTTACTTTACATCGTTCTCCTAGTTAGGAAAAACATAAAGGTTGCAGTTCTCTGAAAGTTGATCATTGGAATAACGACGTAGGTATAGAAACACTTCGGTCTTCGAGGATGTGATCCGCCAGTGCATAGTTACACTCGTCTCATGGGATGGTTGTGGTCCACTAGTGGTCATACTAAAGATGTCACCCTGAAATCAATGGAAAGCCGTTCGAACAAATGTTGACGTTCAGTATTTTACTCCTATGGACCGATCAACATCGGCATTTGAACTGTGATAGAGCTATTTATTTCAAGCCATGGGTTCAACAGAAATTGATAAAACTCCTTCCTCGGGTCTCCTGCTCCTTTCCAGCGTGTGAAATGGACAGAAATTGGATCCGTTTTGGTTGTACTTGCAGCACCAGGTTGTTGTAGTCATTATGTATGTAGTTGTTGTAGTCACAAGTATGTCTTTACGACACTCCCAGTTTTGAGCTTTTCAATCTGAAAGTCGAAACGAGCTACTCCTGAAAGTGAACATATATACAATCCTTATCTCCATCAATGTAATACATCCTCTGTAATGATGCTCTCACCTAAGGCATCACCACCATTTCATGACAGACTACACAAAATGACATGACCTGCCCTCATTCATCCACCAAAACCCACCTCCGGTCTACTACCAAGACTAAAAACACATTTAGTAAGTTCAACCAATGTTGCAGGACCACAAATTGCGTAGTCTCCAACTTGCGGTTTTAACAATCAAACGGTTGACATAGATATTACTATCAGAAGACAATAGAGCCGTTGTTAAGGGGCTCTAGCAAACACACAACACAAACCTGGTGATTGGGAAGTCCCAGTGAAAAGTATCCTAAAGATTGCCCACAAACTCTTCCACAGGAGTATCGATTTCAATCTAAGCCAATATAATGTTCCACTAGAACCTAGTGTGTGATTTCCTTCTCCAATGTGTAAGAAATGATGGAACAGTTTTGACTATTGAGACACGACCTTCTGTGAAAGGCGATACCCAGCTGAGTTCCAATCCTTCTAAAACGTTTCCTGTTATAAAGAGCAGCCACCATTCTCAGGAAGATGAAGCAACCACTTATCATCAGTAATGATCTGTCGTCTTACGTGTGATCGAGAGGGTTGCAAGATACGTACCAGTCACCAACATCCCCCCGCAGTTCATGATCTCCGCTAAAACGCCAGATAAGAGTCCAGAGTCGAAGAACAACAAAAAAAACTTCAAACGGCAGAGGCTACTTGGATATATGTGCTTTCCTAACAGGATACATCTCTTCTCAACAAAGGAAGAGGGAGACTGGTGAGGGAGCCACCAATCAATTGGACGAGTTCAGCTTATATAATCTTCTGTTCGCTTGTGAAAGGTGATATCTCAGTATAGGACACACCCACCTAATACTCTGTAGGGTTAATGCACAAAGCCTTCCCAACCTTGCTTCTCAGTGTTTATTCCTCATACTGTATTCAATTGGCTGCATGCACAGTCGAACTTCTTGAAGGGTTAAAATAAAAATAGCAGGAAGATAAGGTAAGATCATGTTCACTCAGCATCGAGCAGTCGAGCATTCTACCCATGTTCAAAGTCTTCCGATGTTAAAGAAAAGTCCACAAGGCGATACTCAGCCACTTGAACGGAAGTGAATTTGATACCTTGAGGTACACCAGGATGGCTCGGATAATTACAAACATATGTGCTGAATTAAAAGTATGATACACTGGTCTGACTTGCCGGACATTCTAGGTTATAAAAAGATCCTTGGTCCTTGGAGAAGTCAAAGTCAACCAGGGAAAAGTAATGAAAAGACTGGAGCTAATCTCCTCTGATGGACCACCCTATTTCTATATGTGTACAAGATTGAAAAGAAAAAATTGTGACCTCCCTACAGTGGCGGGTTGTCTTGGGAAGTTTTCCCAAATCCAAAACTTGCATATACAAGACTGTACCCTACACAATCCTATGTCTTCGTTCCTGGCACCAGCCTCCCTTGCGAGGAATATGTGTAAATCACCAAAATGTGGGCTGCATATGTGAGGATTTGCTACTTTATAATGGTCCCATTTTCTAGAGACTTTGTAACTTTACAACTACTGGGTAGTACTGTACCGGAGGTGTTGTTCGTAGAAATCAATGAGCTGTGTGAAAACACAAGGACCATGAACGAAATCATATTAGGAAAGTGCTCACGACGTACAGCAAACTTCTAGAAACTCTGAACCCGCTCCTAGACAAGAGAATCGTGAAAATAGGTTCGATACTTCATATCCAAAATTTTAACTGCAAATAGGGGAATTCTTGGAGACGAAGCTCTGTTGACCAAATGTACGTATAGGTAACATGAAGGTTTTCAACATAATACAAATGAGACAAGCTTTCCAAGGCAAGTAATATATATTTACCAAAAGAGGGTAACTATCCCGCATAAACTTGTTGTCCACCACCACTTCTATGCCATCGGATCTGGTAGAACAAAGTGATAACATCACAGTGATGATTAAGTAATTAAACATACATGTAGTGCAAATCGGAAAACATGATTAACATTTATATCAATTAAGCACACAAAGCAACCGATGGACAGTCACAAAAGGGAGGCTACAAAAAAGTACCTCGAAGCTTTGAACAGCACCAAAACGTTTTGCCTTCCATCCGTGGTGGAGTTGCTGTAACTGATTGCCTTGTTTATATGAGTGATGTAAGGAGTGTTGGATTGCAATCTGTTGACGTTCCATACACCAGGCGAAGAAGATGATGGCCTCTCCCCACCTTCGGAATCCGGGGACATGCATCTGCAACCAGGCTTATCTTGCGATTGGCCTTGACTTTCATTACCTCCTAATGAAGTGGCATTTGGAATTTCCTGTTCGATAAGTGCTCCTTCCTCAACAGGAGCCAGCTGTTTATCCCCCATTGCATTCTCTTTGTTGTCATTCAGATCCATAGTCTGTCTTACTCGTTTTACAACACCACTCTTTCGCTTCTTTGCTCCAGTACATCGGTCATTTGCACCTTGTTTCCCGTGTTCATCACTTGCACCTCCACCGTCAGCCTTGTTACTGCTAACTGGTATGGCAGGCTCTGTTCCAAAAGCACGCTTACCCGCAGCTTTACCAAGACTTCCATCCACATCATTTGCAGTCTTTGGGCCTACGACCTCCTCCATTTCTTCACTACCAATATCCGTAAGATTCGCAGGAACCTGAGCAGCTCCACTCATGTCACCAATATCCGTCATGGACACATCTCCGTTGAAAACAGCAGTTTCTAAAGCTTTGTCTGTTCCAACCAGAAGCGACCCAACAGTTCCTGTGGTTCCATCTTTGTCAACAGCACGATCACTGGCATCATAAAATATATCTCGTTGGCTGCTTGTGTCAACAGCAGACTCGAGTCTTTGACTGGAAGAGTCCCGCATCTCTTCGACTGCCTCTAAAGGCAAAGATGGGGCTCCTTCGTGAACAGAGTTGGCCGTGGTTTTTAATGATGGCATTGACAGGCTCAACGCATCTTGACGAGTACTATTGTTAAAGCTTTCCACTCTTACCTCAGGTATAGAAGTACTGACATCTGCATTTGCAGTCTCAAGACCCGACCCAGGTCTTCCTAGAACCGAAACTCCTTTGCTTTGCGAAGACTCGACAATCAAAGGGCCACCAAGAATAGCTTCTTCTTCAACAGGAGCGGCAGTTACAGCGGTTGTTACAGTCTTACTAGAAGGACTACTGGTCGCTGTCTCACCATTGATATCAGATATGGGTGACCTTAGTGCTGCTAGAGCAGTAGACTTCATCTCTGCAGCCTTTCGTCTCGCAGAGACTTTAGGTGATATCTTCTTCGCTGGCGCCTCAGGAGTAGTCTCCATCTTTGGCTCTACAGCATTCTCAACTTTCAGTTCTGACTGAGACTCCTGATTGGCCTGGCTTGGCTTGCTGTTGGCAACTTGATCTCCAGTCTCTGTTGCGCTTGGTCTGCTGTTCGCTACACCTTCTCCGGTCTCACCAGTACTAACATTCATAGAGTCTCCATCGCCAGCAGTACCTCTCTTCTTCTTCTTCTGATGGAGTAGATAAGTACCAAATTTTCTCTTGCCCCGTCGACTCCTTTGACTGTGAACATTCACAAAGCCCTTCAAACTGAGGTACATTCAACCAAAACTTCAAAACGTACTCACCAAGAAAGCAATGAGAAGTTCAAAGAAATGAAGATGTTGAAGCTCTATCAAACTATCTGTATACAGCTCGCGTGAAATTTCTTGAAACACCTTGGGTTAAAATAATACCCTAGACAGCGCCATGCATAAATCAAAAGCGGTTGGGAAAACACCAGGCCTAAAATCTAAACATCTGGTTGACACAGAAGAGGTAAGGAAGAAATATGATCAAGGAACCAAGTGTCATACTTCTTCTCGAACTCCTCAAGAATGTCAGTACACATGGCCACATTCTCGTAAGGCTCCCATGTGTTCGCCTTCTCTGACCAACCCTTCCTGTTATGGACCAAATTGATCTCATATTAGCAATGTTGTAATACTTATAAATATATATATATCTCGGTAATTGTATGGCTTCAAACTAATTAACCAATTCTATTTTTTTGCTACGAAGCATAAATATAATATACAGTCAGTGACAAAGAACAAGGCACAGAATAGAATGCACAGTCCCAGAATATAATTTATGGAATGAACAAAGAAAGAGACACACAACACTCAAAATACATACCATTTTATGAGCATTTCAACTTTACCCTGTGAACAAATCAAGCCACCAAAAATGTATCAGAAAGGTAAGCCAATCTTGCCTGCATCTACTTTTTTAATCTACTCGTATGAAATATTGTGTTTAATGACCACATCTTGAGTTCCGTTGCACCATATGTACCGTATTATCTTCTTGTACAATGTATTGAATTTGGACAGTTATTTATTTCATTCAAAATAATCAAGACAGACAGGTGTAATATCTATGATATATACATAAGTTCATGGTCAACCTGAAGAGATCTTCGCCCCTCGATACTTCTTGTTGTACTCTTCCTAACCAAGGCACTTCTAGCTAGAATAAAAGAACAATGATGAAGATAGAAGATAAGGCACAATAGTGTATGAAAACACTTAATCGCAATCAAATAGAAAGATAGGTGGCCAGGTATGGACTTTCATATACACATAAAAATCAAGCAAACCAACCACAAAAAACACTCCGGATACACATAGCAAAGAGAATGCGCTACTGAGATTAGAGCAACTGAAGTCACCCTTTAAGTCAAATCACATGGGATGATCATTAACAGGATGGGTTCTTGGCAAAGAGGTAAATATCCATGGCTGATGATAATTGTGGGCACAAACATTGTGAGTTAATGCGCAGTTGCAAGTAAACTGCACCAAAATGTAGATCTCACATCACCTAGTGAGAGAAAGATTGGTCTTCTACTGAGAGCATAGAGAAGAGATACAAACGTACACAATAAACGGCACAAGGAAATCAACAAATTTGAAGTTATATGCCTCTCATCCCAGGTTTCTGATACATCTTGGACATGCGACATACTTGAGCACACAACCCTATATAGAAAAATTAGTCCCTAAGACACACAAGGCGATCGTCTTAAACGCAGTTTCCGTGCGATTATTAACAGAATTGTATGATCTCCAGTCAAGAGTAACTAGATTATATGTGTACTGTAGGGATGTACAATCTAGTTACTCTTGACTAGATTATACATCCATACGGTGCTTAGAATCGAATATGGCGTACTTCAACGCTTCGACAATGGAGTGAAAAAAATTGCGCAGTCTTAGTTACTAAAGTCATGTATTCAGTATCAAGTTCAAGTACTTTTCGTTAAGCATGGTCTTCTATATGACCTGTAAAAATTTAAAGAAAAAACTCTCATCCCGAAGTGTGCAAGAATTTCAGACCAAAACAGATTGAAATTGACCAGCGACCGTGCACTCCGAGACCAAAACAATTCCGAACGATCTCGTCTTTAAATTCTGTTGTTTGGATAATGCTTAAGAGATTTCCTTACAAGTAATGTAACTTCGATCTCTAGCATTCTTTGGTCACATCAAAACATACACAGCAGTATGGTTAATCGACCTCTTTGTCTACTGGATTCGAACTATAAAGGTGTTCTAGCCAAATTTCACAAACTCCCTCTCAGGCTGCTTTACACTCACATATGTTAACAAAAAAAAAGCGCATAAACAATGACCTCAACTCACCAAGAGAGTTATGATGAGAAAAGAAACAGCTAAGGCTGAATAGGACCAAGAAGGACAGTAGAAGTATAGCCCAAGGGTGTACAGAAAGAATGAAAATAGACCGCTCCAGCCATGTTTGACCCGAGAAAGTCACCTCATACTGGTCTTGGTTTCTGCGATCGAGTTAAGGAGTGACTTCTTTATCCAATTTGCTTAATTAGCGATCCAGGATAACAAGTAACGCTACTTCAACTTTGATATCAACCACTCGATCACAACAACCCATATGCCTTTAGGACCAACCGGCTTCCTCACATTTTCTAATTTGGCAGGCTTATCATCTGAGAGTAAATCTTTAAATGACGAATTTTGTTAAGATCATAACTGAAAATTTCCAGAAACATTCAATTTCACTGTGTTTGAAAATTTAGGTTATTCGACAAACTCAGTGTGAGAAAGCAATCGCTAATACCGACTGAGGCAGTACTGAGATGAATGAATGCGGCTGAGTTGTACATCCACTATACCTTTCGTACACGCTTCTTCTTGATAGACTCCACTTCGAAGTAGTCTTTACCGAGTTTCTTGATATCCTCCTCTTCCTCTTCTTCTTCTTCTTCCTCTTCATCTTCACCTTCCTCCTCTTCTTCCTCGCTCTCCTGTTCACCATTTGCTACCTTACCCTTGCCCTTTTCATCATCCGTAAAAGCTTTCAAGGATTTCTTATCCTTCTCGAGAACCTCTTCTTGTATATCAGCTCCAGGGGCTTTCTCCACAGAGGGCTCTTTGCTGTCTTTCGTTGAGCCTTTCTTGATTTTCTCCGATACGTCTTGTTTATCATCCTTAGACCCTTTCACGTCAACAGAAACCTTTGTATCCTTTTCGGCCAGGGGTTTCTCTGCCTTCTCTACCTTCTCGGCATTCGACTTCCTTGGCCTCTTTCCAGACTCTAGAACTATACCCTCGTCTTTCGCCCCGGTGCTGGTCGAAACTCCCGGACTCTTGTCCATTCCGGGAGACCCGTCAGCGGATTCCTTGAGTTTGCTTTTCCTTCCACTGGACTCTGATTCCCCTGGGGGTACAGGACGCTTCCGCGATCGACGAGGCCGAACAGCACTAGAAGGAGATTCCTTTATGATTTCTTGCACATTTCGCAGTCTTGGACTGGCAGAAGCATCAGCAGCTTCGTTTTCTTTGGCTGCCTTTTCTGCCATTCTAGCCTCCACAGCTTTGCGTCGTTGAGACCTTTCTCTCAAGACTGGAGCAGGTGACGAACCAAGGACCGGAGTAACAGGTAAGGAACTGTCCTTCGTGGTTCCCTCCTTCGAGATTTTCGGTGTCGTGGAAGCAACGATCGTCATAGCTATCAATGAGGTCGTTAAGGTTGTAGTGGTGGTGGAAGAAAGCACGAAACCACTCTTCTCGGCAGCAAGATTGGCATCGCCATCGTTGTTCTTCGATGGATCACCATCGATTGCAGTTGCTCCAGTGGATGTTCCGCCAGCTGCACCTTCCCCTCCACCATAGCTTCCACTGCTGCTCGCCATACCTTTTCCTCCTTCTCCTCCTCCACCCTCCCCTCCCACTCGCGAGCTTCGTCTCAGAGCGCTTCTCCCTGTCATCGTAGAATCATCCGGGGTGTGGTTACCTAACTTGCCCCGCGAGGGACGAGCGCTAAGCCCGCCTTCGCTACGAGACACGAGAGAGGCCGGAGCACCTCCTCCGCGCTTTGCCATCTCTCGCGAATATAAAGCTAATTTCTCTTTCTCTCAAAAACAATTCCCCGCCCCCACCCGTGCTCGAATCACGCGGAAAATCTAAAATACAAAAAAACTCTCCCTTTCTATCATTCCTGCGACACTCCCTCCTTCCCGTTCGCAACCACGCACACCATCCTCTCCTCTCCTCGCCCCGCCCGTCTCCGCTCCGCTCCTCGCCTGCCCAGCCCACTCCACTCCTTTCCGACCGGACCTTTCCCGCACCCCCCCCCCTCTCCACCCCACCCTCCCCTCCCCTCGCTCGCAGCTCTACCACATTCGTCTCCACACCATCACCATTACCGCTCTTCGAGCCCGTGGCATCGTGACCAATAACCTAGAACCTTTTGCATCGGGTTCCGATTCGCAACCTGGAACCTGTCCGCCTCGAGCCCAGATAGCGCGCTAGCTGCTGCTAAACTGCTCTAACGTTAAGCGAGCGAGAGCGAGAGCGAGAGCGAGAGCGCGAGCCCCGGCCCGCCCGCTCGCTCGCTCGCCGGCCAGGCGTGCCACCCCTCCCATGCCCTGCCCTCCTGCCCTACTAGCTGGGCCCTCGTAGTCCCCTGCCCTTTCTTGCAGCCTTCAAACGCTCGTCCCATCCGACAGTACTTCACTCCCGGGCCGCCCGGACAGAGCGGCTTCTTTCCGTTCGCCCATCAATCACCTCTGCTCTGCTTTCTTTGCTCCGCTCCAACCAACCAACACGCCCGAAGAAAATTTCAAGGCCCTGCGACCGGAAACAGAGCGCCACCTTCACCGCCTTCCGGCGCCCTCCCTCTGCCTCCCTCCTGGCTCCCGCCCGCAGGTCGCGAGCCTCGACCTACTTACTTACTTACTTACTTACTTACACGACTTTTCTTAAAGGAGGGAGCGAGGGCGCGGGAGGAAAAACGTACGCGCAGAGTATTTCTGCCGCGCTCTACCGCCCCACGACCGGCCAGCGCTGCGACGGTTTCAAAACGTCTGCGCATGGCATTTTTAAACATTTCGCGGTCAATTTCCTCTTCGCCCCGTCGCTGCGCGGGTCGGCGTACGCGCCTCTCGGCGTCGACTTGGTGTTTGCTTCTGCTTTATGGCGCGGGACATGAATCCAGGCGGAGGTGCAGTGCTTCGAGAGCGCTCTCCCGCGGCCGGGCAGAGTCTCGATTCGCCAGGCCAAGGATCATTCATTATGGGTCCAGGAGAACCTGCGCCCTTCTGAGTCTGCTCCATCCCCTCCGCACTGCAGTCACGCGGAAGGAGAAAACCACATGCACGTACTGAGGTTTTTGACCCGGCCTCTCTGGGGCAACACACCATCCCCACACCAGAGGATGCGATTCCCCTCCCTTCCCTGCTCCAACTTCATTAGTCCCCCAGCTTCGGAAGAATCCGGCACTAGACCTCGGTCACCAAGATCGCGCACCTACCGGCTCATTTTCGGAAAGTGCTCATCGCCCATATCCCTTCTCCCGGCTTCAACCAACAAACGGGAGCCCACTTCCATTCATGCATACGAGACGCATGGCCCTTGTTGCACAGTTCCTTCCATTCGCTGCTAGGAATTTTTTAGAACATACACTTGCTACAGATGGAAAGCCATTTCAAGGGCTGCCCAAAGCCATTTCGCGTACTTTCTTAGAAATGGAGATAATACTGTTTAAACTGCACCAGGAAAGACTTGAACAATAGATGGGCAAAAGATAGGAATGTCTCTCTCTTGCACTGTACAATTCGTTGATGAAGTAGAGATTGCATTGGACTTCGAATCTCTTACATTGATATAACCGCTCGATTGGGGCCAGTTCATCTCACACCCTTGATTTCATCTAGTTACGAGCTGATGGGTCGGGTCTTCGCATCCTTTTCGCTATATTACTTGGTTTTCATCTTGACGACATGAAGATGTTGCTCGAAGCACACTTTTGTTCTCATTTGTTTGAAAATTAAAGCACTTCCGCTCATAGATAAGAGGTGGTTGACACTGTAAACAAATTTGTCTTCATTTGCTAATAATCATTATTTTAAGAAGTAGTTGTCATGATGAAGCTTCTGGATCATCCTGTAATAATGCCAATTGTGTGGAAGTTTTGAAGCTTTAGTCCTTCTAAAACTCAACGCTTGGCACTCACCGTTTACTCCAAATTTCAGACACATGGCATAGTCTTTACTGTTTGTTTAAAATTTGTCGTGGTCTTTCTTGTTCCTACAACGTCTCAATTTGGACCCACTCTATAGAGTTTGTAAAGTATCACTGACATGTTTTCAAGTCGATGGCAGTTACAACGTAAATGGACATGACAACTTAATGCACTAAAACAGGACCATCTAAATGGTTGTAGACACTTAGATTAAGAATTGCATCTAAAATCTTGTGAAATAAATCGAAACGCACAAAATTGGAGAAATAATTGAAGAGAAGAAAGATATAGGGTTGGCGGGGAACGCTAGTCAAGTTGTACAAGGAGTAATTCAAACAATCAACTTGAGACCCTCCGTCGAACCGAACGTGCAATGTTTTCTAACATAAGGTACTTCAAGACCAAACAAAAAAAACTAGTCAATGTTTTTGAGATTGACTCACTTACTCTGCTAGGCCCTTACTTACTCATTATATGTCTTGATGAAGTGAAGATTCCAAACTATCTAATTACAATGAAATATAAAAAATTAACATTATGATACATAGATTACATTTGTAGTATCTAGATAAAAATAAACATATGTTTTTATATACATGTTATAATATAAAAGAAACCGTCTTTCATTCTCAAACCACGTACATAAAATTTAGCGCCCACAACTTCATTTGATCATGAAGTTTACGATATCGGTTAACTTTAATGGTTGAAGAGTATCATACTTGCAACATTGATCATTTACTCATATCTAATTTATATAAATTATCCTCCTTGGGGGCCAAGACAAATCTCTCCTGCTTACATGGATTGCTTGCAGATAGAAGAAGACGAAGAATCATATGTAACTTTTCTAATTGCAAGATATCAAAACTCTTGTATGAGTAATACACCGAGGTAGAATGAAGCCTTATTGATAAAAAAATAAAAAATGATAGCTCAAAAACGATTCAAAAATAGCTTGACGTCAAACTTGAAAATAGACGTATAAAAAAATGATTATTCAAACTGTACCAATTTTACTCTCAATTGAGACGTAAATTTCTACCACACAAAATATACCCAAGAGAAGATATCCAACTATTTATATTAATGATTTATATTTCTAACTAACATACAATTATGATTTAATAATTTTATCTTCCGAGAAAATATTTTCACTGGACGTGTTGTATGATATCCCGTACAGTCTAAAAATTAAATCTACAATTCACGGGAAATTTAATTAGTCACAACTGATTGATTACAATATTATGGTTCTTCATTCTTCCGATGCTTATTACGAATTGATGAATGTTGAAAAGTTCGCCAAACACTTTTCTTCCAAAATCTATCAGTATTACAACACTTAATTGTAATTTGCTCATATTCTTTTAATTACGCAGATCATATATATCTATCTTAAATAAAACTGTTCACCGAATAAAGAAATATAAATTACGAATGTAATAGAGGACCAACTCACACAAGATAGATCTCATAATTACTCTCAAATACTATTACGTTTTGATTCCAACCAATCATTTTTTGTCGTACACTTTCTTCATGGACAAAATGATTCAAAAAATTAGCCAAAGCCTCCTCAAGTATTCGAATATAAGATGTAAATATGGAAATGGATGTGCATCAATGGACGATGCAAATTACTCCACGAGACTTGGGCCTCATAACATCACACTAGGTTTGAAGTGGGCTATCAATTTCCAAAGGATGATATGACCATCTTGTCCTAAGCGGGCATTGCTACCTTCTCCATCATGCAGATGAACACGTTTTCTGTATTCACATAGCTTCGTGATCTCGACTTGAAAAGGCCTGATTTTTGTTTCCTGCGTTTGGTCAAGACAAGGAGCTCACGCGATAGTGGTAGTTATGGGCCGCAAGATTTCAGGTGTACTTCTGTCCGTATTCCTAGTCAAGAGGTGTACTTCCGTCCGTATTGATAGTCAAGAGGTCAGTGGGTACTACGGTGGAGACTAGGTCCATTTCAGAAAGTCACCCTTACATCTTCACAGTCAAGCAGACTTGATATTAAGACTAACGATCCGAAGTCTCAAATGCCCATACCCAGTATCAGACTCGTATTCTTCCAGAACATGGCCATCACATTTTTCCAGTGCCCTGACACTTACGTCATGGCGGCTGTGACGGGCTACAGTTTCGTGGCTACTGGCGAGGCACCTGTGACCAAATTCGCGTTCACAGTTCGGGACAGCACAGATCCTTGCCGTTGGTAAATTCAAACTGAGCGTTCGATCCCGTGTGAAAATTAACATGTATGATTAGCATGAAGACTGCTCGGTCGCAGCCCCTACGCTAGTGCCACACTCTTCTTGAATAAGGATTGCAATAACGGAAATCAGGACAAAACAATGGTCTGATAGATACGGACATGAAGTACATTTTCATGAAGGGAAACTTAAGAGGCGATCTAGCTATGACCATTCAGTAACAACGCGGATACCGAATGGTCCTGTGGAAGAAAGCTTGTTCCCTTGAGGGCTTCATTCCCAATTCTAGACGGTGGATACGTGCTCGAACTAAAGCATTTCCAGGGATGTGTACACTTCAGGCGTGTGACTAGTAATGTACAGGCAGATCAACTCGCTCCTGCACCTGGTTTTCCTTTTACAATCCTTTTGAAGGTATGATGCAGAACTATCCCAACCCTTAACCACCATGTGCACAACGAACTTCCCACCATAATTGGTTCCATCTAACAACATGGAAATGTCTTTGAGCATGACAATTATACCCTGTGCTCTATCCAGTCAGTTTTCAGTTCATTCTGTAACTGCAACATTCCTAAAATGCTGGAAGACAGCATAAGGTAAAAAAAAAGGACATGGATTGTTATTCAGTTCGGTCAGGGAAAGCAGTAAAGAAAAGAACTTGGAAAAAAAACACTCCTTCCGGATTGACGAGTAGGAGACTGAAAGATGTATGTGCTTTGCCGATGTACCTGGTGTAGTAGAAACGAAACTCGGTTTCTATTGATAAACAAGGACACATGGATGACGTCTCTAATGGTGCGCAACTTCCGAAGATTAGAAACGATGGTTTTGGAAATTAGTCAAGAACATTCGAGAACAAGGTACGTCGTCCACCTCCTTTGACAAGATGGGCTTCCGTTGCATGGCAAGTATTGAGGTGGTTTCCAGAAATATATGTACGCTGTAATCTATCTCAAACAGATACAATTGCATCGGCAGAGAGGACAATGTTGACTACGCTGAGCAGTGTATACAGACAAAATCAGACTACCATTTCTCATTAGTAAAAAATTCAGCACATATCTATGGAGTCCGCCCTGTTCATGAAGGAAGGCAAAACTGAAATCTGTTCATAAATTTTATATATATGTCACTTGGACAAAAACTCGGAAGGAAAGTAATTGGGCCAGGAGTCCTAGCAGTCATGAAGAGCTCTGAACTTATACATGAATGCAGTGAAGAGATGCTGGCTGATGGGATCAGGGATACAGGAAATGAAGAACCGAAGTCTGTTGGAAAAACGGCTTTAATTGTAATGATTTCGGATAAAGGGGATTCCCTTGTTACTTAAACATTGCGTTCCGGCCACCCGCCTCTGAACAAATCATGACCATGCTAATGAACACCCAAGGCTTAGCAGGGCCACGAACGATGATATCGAGGCAAAGATAATGTTCCTGCATCCTTGTGCTCTTGACATCTTCTCCTCGTATTCCATATTTCTACAGATGAAACAGCTACTTTGGCGAAAACTCTAGATAATGCGGAATTGATGGTAGAACTTCAAAAAAGTCGAGTAAATGACTTCTCCGCAAAGATCGCAAGGAGGACAAACATTGTAACGCAAAGAGCCTTGCAGCACTCCACGCATTAAGCTCGTGTATACAGTCCATGAGAGTCAGAATCTGCTTGTCAGGAGCAAAGTAGTCAGTTCACTGTTTGTCTTCGTGAAAGAAGATAAGAAACGCTTGCAGAATCTCGATAGCAACCTTGAGTGTCTGGACTACTCACGCCCATACAACGACGATTTCGGCCACCGTCTCTCAAAGGAACTGAGTGAAGTGGACAACCTGCGCTATTTCTCATCCTCCCTATCACATAGGATCCATCCTTTCATGTACTAACAGAATTTCCAGAGGTGCTTGCGGAACTCAATAATCCTCCTCCGTCTGACCTCGAGAATATCTTCGGACAGAAGTTCCTTGTCTACCTAGAGATCACCTCGCCTCCCTTCCGAATCTAATTTTGAGTTGAAGAAAGCCTTCGAACAGCGTTACAACCCTTACATCGAATTAATCATTCTCTTCAAAACGTTCCGTTTGGTTCTGTCCTCTATTTCCAGAGCTCTTTCCGTAAGAACTTGCTTCAAGCGGCACATTGACTTGCGAACCTGCCAAGTTTCAAATCATAATTTAATAGCAGGAAGAAAGTTTAAGAAACCTGCCTGATATAGGTGATCAATGACAGGCTAAGGGCCACAAGCAAAGCAGCAATCGTGGGAGGCGTACCTTGCCAGACCGCTCTGGATTGGGCATGCGAAGACTTTGAGAATTCAGCATCTGCTTTTGTGACAGTAGCATATTCTTCTCCTTCAGCAACACATACCAAAGTTTGTGGAGGTCATCCCATGATTTCAGTCTCAATTCAGAAGCCTTCCAACTTCGGCCTGCGCATCACCTCACGTATTGCATCGATCAACAAACAGCGTTGCAACTTGTGGTCATTTTAAAATTCTTGGTGTCAAATTTAACACATTCAGAACGATCTGAAAAAACTCCTTCATCTAACTGGGAACCAGACCACGTACCGTAAACAATTTTCTCGGTGGATTTCGGATCACGGCCAGCTTCAAAGAAATCCGCGAGACCACCACTTAGACGAACGGAAGTGTAATTGTGCGCAACCGCAAAGGGCCGCAGAAAGGTTCTGGCGACCTGCATTTCGGCAACTACTTCACTCCTTCCTCGTTCCAGCTACAATAAGCCCTCAGCTCAAAACCCTCAGCTTTTGCATGCTCCTTCCTCCGATGGAAGATTTTCCGCAATTGCGTCGATCAAAGTTCCAATTCCAAAAACATGCTAGGGTTCAGGTTTAAGAACTGAAGCTGAGATCCAAAGAACCGCGGGTGATTTTCTTCTCTTACACAAGAACAGAGACCTTCGATGCCACGTGGTGCCAGTTTGTTCTACTGTGGTTGGAAGAGAAGGTTTAGGCTCATTGTTGCAGTCACGGTACATCCCGGTACTGCCGCATTCGGGCGACAAGTTCGGTCTTCCCTACCAACTAGCTCTGGTAACTTCTCCGCTTCCACTTCTCTCACATCCTTCAATTCATGTTGTAACTACAATACTGAATCATCAATTCCCAAAACTAAGTTGATAAAGCTCAATTCTTAGAGCTTCATCCTCACGGAGCTCTTTTTCACCGATCTTCAACTCCTGAGATTACCTCTCTTTCTCCATCTTTTACTTCTTTATGTATGATACGATCGCGGTCGATATCGAGGTAATCATTCTAGTCGTGAGCCGTGCAATCCATCATCTGAAGGAGCTTCATGACTAGTTCTCCAGGGTATTTCAACCCAGGATGCACTTTGTATCTTGCTTGTTGAGCTACTTGGTATGCTGGTAATATTGTAAGATTTGCAAATAAGATGAGATCTGCTTTGAATATTCTAAGTAGCCTTCATTTTCGGCCTTGCTCAAGGGAGCTAGTCAGAGTGTTTGACTATCACTCGTCTGTTTGTGAATGGATTTACCAAAGTTATATAGACTATGGAGGTTACTTATATAAGCTAAAGCTTATATAAGTAACAGATATTGTCTCATATTTCAACTAGCTTCACTACTTACATCAGATAACACAATAAAACATCCTTCCTTGCTAATGTCTTGCTCAAAGACGACTCAATTCTAATCTCATCACAACGCTAGGAATGTCATCCTACATTGTTCCCAACTTATTTAGTATCCAACTTATTTAGTATCACTGACACTTTGAAACTCAAATGCTGAATTGAATGGCATGTACTTGCAAAACAAATGTGTGAATATGGATCCAATTGAAAATCTCCCAAACTCCATACTTGGTGACGATATTATTATATCCCAACGGATGAATTTATAGTGCTCATTGTTGTTGATTGCTATTTGATTTTCTGTAGCTCTGTCTATTAGATTAGTTGATTTTAACATTGTTCGTAATCAATATAACTTTTGTTTATTGCTATTTACTTGATCATGGTTATTAGATTATTTAGTATGATCTATATCACAATAAGCTCAAGTTTTCTACAACTCAAAATTCAGATTTTCATCAAAGCTTTGTGTTTTTGTTCATGTATTGTGGTTTGATGAATAACTTATTGTTCTGTCTCGAATAAGTTGGATGATTGTGTCTGAGTGATTTATAAACTTTTTTTCTTATAACCACCTGCACATACTACAATTTATCATCGAAATACAAAAGTACTTTCATGATTTTCATACTAGAAAACACATACTTAAAGGCCTTAGACTTTAATTAGAAATAATGCAATGGTCTTCATATCTACATGTGTGTTTTAATCATTAAACAATTAGAATCGAAATTTATATTTAACTATTTCGAATGTGATTCAACATTTATCCTTAATTTCTAATAATAGTAAGATGTTCATAAATTCAAAAAAATTAAAATATTTTATGTGGTCTTTTAGAAAACTTAAAAAGACTGCTCATATCTATCGGAACAAGTTTCTTAATATGTGTAACTGGAAATTTGGCATGAAGACGTACATGTTTCACAATTTTTTTGAAAGATTACATATATCATCAATAGATCAGACTTCGTTTTGAACAATCAAATTCTCACCATAGTTTTTGTTACGTTACAAAGTACAAGCAAAGAATACCTTTTACATATATTCTTGCCTGTACAAAAGACTATTTTAGGTCTAATCCATGACATAATTTTTACTTACAGAACTAAAGTGGAATATTTTAATTATTTCGCTGGATTAGCAATTTTAAATAGTTATGTATTCATTTTAATTTGAGTGAATATGACATTATTTATGATGTTAAAATTTGTTTATACTTTTGCTTCTGCATGATACAAGCTATTCGATCTTGAATAAACCATGCATTTAAATTTTACAATTGAGACAGGTTATTCTCATGAAAATTTCACATGAGTTTTGTGCATCGACATCTTTCTTGTTCGTGTGTGAACACAATAAATTCAAAATCGAAGTGCAGAATACATTTTCTTTAATTGATGCTTATTTCAAAACCAGGACATACTTATCCACATTAACATTGAAACATATTATTATAATAATTCATGAGACATCATATGTCATATTAAAAGTATGTTTATAGATGTCTCACTAGAAGAAGATTAATGAGAGAAAATCTTTGGTTACATCAAACTACAACTCGACATCTGTTGATTACGGATATTACAAGTGAGAGAGTCGCTGAAGTCTGATTGAACATTATCCAGGTTGAGAAAAGAGTAATGGCAAAAAGAGAAATTTCCACATACAAGGATATGTACATTGGTAAATTCTTGTTCCCTTTGCATTGTCCTTACGTGGAATAGTTTATACAAATTTTGACATGTTTTGCACAACTCGGGGATAGGGGCCGCCCTCTTTGCCAAATTTTTTATTGTTCAATCTGCTCTCTTCCTCTAAGATATTGTTTAACATCTTTAAACAATGTGGTTGCATAGTACTAAAGACAACACTAAACAAGATTACAAACATCTAATTTCGTTCATGAGAAATAATATTGAGAAACTAACTCGTGGAGGTCTTGTTTCGTAGTAGTGACCAAAGATTACTGCGTATTGTGGTCCGCATACAATTTACAACAAAACGCATTCGACTTCCAAAGCAGAAGAGAGCTTGGAATATGACTAAACGAGATTTCAAGTCGAAAACGCATCGATTCACACAATGAGCCTTAGAATAGATGTTCAATCGAACACAGTACTTCCGCAAGCTGCGATGAAAGAATTGTTACTTCCAACTTACAATGTGGTTGCTCTAAAATGTGTATGTTGACAAGTAGCTGGAACCAGCAGTAACTGCGACCCAAGGTGGGAAAGAAGCGACTAGTCTTTCTGTTTCCCTCTCCAAGCCTTGGTCGAGAACAGCCAATTCTATTCTCAGGACCTCATCATTGCTTGCCTGCAAAAGCACAAAATACTATCAATATTAGAAAATCACGGCAAAAATGAAACCGTGGATTATAGTAAGACCAAAAATGAGTTAATTGATGATTTTCAACTCCAAATATTGATCACCTCAACCCAGAAGAGCCAATTGTCTTTCACGTTGTGTCCCGATAACCTGCATATATATGATGGTGGGCCTCCAGAAACGGCTTCTGTACCTACACCAAACGAGATGATACAATGTGCTTATGTATCTTATGTTCATTCAGCTTACATTCAGTAAACGCGCACTTGAGTAGAAAATTAAAGGGAACATGAGAATCTAAGGTCCAAGAGATCCAAGGGACCAAAAATCGCAGACACAACTCTCAAATAACGAATTACGTATTGAAGAATCTGTACGCTTACAGCCCTATTATGATTGCATCAACATCTATACGAGAATGTTAAACCCTTTTAAGTTTGTGCAGTCCAAAGATCGAACAATAATGAATCAAGCCTGCAGGAAAGGGGATATTTGATTGACAAAAGAGCGAAAAAAACCTGGGAGCTTTTGATCTGCAAATGACCAATTCATCATTGGTCCAGTGATGTTCATAACAGCTCCCCATACCTCCTGTAGATCCCTGAAAATCAAAAAGTTCAAAAGGTTTTACGGTATACGGTTTCCAAACTTAAACAGTTTCTTTGCTTCATGACTCATTATGGAGGTGGGTCTATGACAGTCATGTATGGCAAGTTCAAGGAAACGGAGATGAAAGCATATATTTACTAGACATGATATGAGATGTTCATACCCCAAGTCGAGTTCAATATGAATTCGTCTCTTCGGTGTATTGGGATTAGTTTCATCTTTCTCTTCCTTGACGACTTGTAGTAACGGAAATTTTCTCAAAAGGTTCATGGAAGCAGAGACAGGAACTTGAGTGCCCCTGTTGAGCATTCTGGAAATGGGGTACAACGCCTGCAGTAGAAGCGACAAGAAGTCAACTACTTAAAGTAGTTCAGAAGCTTGAATTTAGTGCTCAAGACTTCTGCAAACTCTGGTCACAAACTTTAGAAGATCTATCCAAAGACAAGAACCAGTAATGCTAAGAATCCTTGAACTGTACAGAGAACGTGACAGCTATACCAGCAGCATAATTACTAAACTAATTCAAAATGGAAGAATGCGGCAGTGAGGTGTTTCGCCTTACTGTAAACGTGACAGGATCGATATCAATGTCGCTTAAAATTTGAGCTTCAGTCAAATGTAAAGACTCTGCAAGGGTCGGAGCTTGTTTCCAGATAAGTGCAACCGGATTTGGGTCTACGGAAGCAAAATCGTAGCTTGAACGGATAATTTCGTTTCCACCTAGTAACAAGTTTGGAAGACAGTTAGACTTGAAAATACACCCTCTATTGTAACGACAAATGTAAAGAGCTCCGTCTAAATTTCCTTCACATGAATTCGGACTGGACAAAAGTGACGCTCAAATAATATGTACGTCTCCACTTAGATCTCTTCGGCAATGTATACAGCACTATTACTAGAAAAACCTGCAACTAGTTGTGGAGAATGACGCACATCTTACTCCACATAAACTCCAGCATTCTACAATGCAAGCCTTACATGTATTATTTGACCTACATTTGCGACAGAGAAAGCAGAGCTGAACATGTTTAAAATTCTCAATTTACAAAATCCATCAGAACACTGCAACTACATGGCTTCGTCTTCATCAGACTAAAAGTCTATACGGAAAATGACCTCATGAACTGGACAAAGCCTCTGCAAAACAAAATTCTGCCCTAACAGAATACAGCTAAACACAATATACTATCTAATTTGCACGACTAAGGTACTGAGCAGTATTAGGCCACACGAAAATCGATTGTTATGAAATGCTCTGAAGAGAGAAGGGAATACCTGAGGTGTAAAATGAATGTTGCAGCACGAGTCTTTTGGGAGCATCGTAAGTGTAAGGGAATGCCCGAGAGGAAAGTGCTGCTGCCCCAATACTTGCATATAACAGCATGCGAACGATATATGGCTTCCCTATCCATCTTGCAACAACTGGAAGAATTGGTGCAACAGACATAACCATGCAACCACCCACTAGTAGTGACATGATTACATCAGAGATATAAAATCCTGCACAATGTAAAAAAAAAGCAATCAGATGGGGATAATGGAAGATTCGCCTGAGATGTGCTCCAGGTGATGGATGAAATTCTGGGCAGAACTCGCACATACAGCAGCACACATTATAATGTCAATATGCGCGTGAATTATCTGTGGTAAATCAGACGGGATATAATCATGCTCCTGCACAGGGCAGAAACTAATAGAAAAGTTTCATACCGAATGGTAATGGATTGGAGCCAGTCATGCCCGACTTTTCAGCTAGGAATTGAACAAATACTCCACCGAAGTACACAGAATATGCGATAGGAAGAATTAAGGTAATCAAGTACCCCATCAAGGCCCTGCGAGACAAAAACAATCCATTAGAACAACAGAACCAGAATCAAGATTACCTACAGATCTGCTTACGCTTAACTGTACTCGTTAGCATATGCCAGTCATAGCCTGAAGACCATACAGCTCTGATCCTCGCTAAGAGATGCTTGTAATTACAGACGGGCAAGAAGTAAGAAGGTGATGAAGGAGACGAACAATGAAAAACTTTTTCAACGTGAGACCTGATAATACTCAGTTCAAGCTACTTCACACTCACGACTTGCATTTGTTTGAGTAATGAAATGGTGGGCATCAAGGAAACGCAACTATGCTCCGTATATAGGAATCCACAATGCCTTTCAGCCTCCAGGAGGACAATTGCAAACAAAAAACTGGCATTCTTGCATAAGCATCCAAATAACGTTCAATTATAGAAAACTTCTGAAAACAAATGAAAACTCATGTTCATTTCTGCACTTAATGAAGCAAAAGTGCTGGTGGAGAAAAGGTTGCATACGCACAATAGGGACTGTTTCCCAAAAAGGTGCTGGCATAGACGGAAAATTGGGAACGCTGGAATGAGGAAGAATGCCCATATAAAGTCCAGATAACCGCTACCTCCAGAGAGTGTGATAACCTGTTCACGCGTGTTAAATATACTCTGGTCAGAAAACTCAGATCACAGTTCTCCTTGTGGCTTCATAAAAAATGTATGTATTCATCATTGAATACGACATCCATTAAGAACACGGCAAAACAAGATGAGTTGATGAATATCTGGCAAGACTTTTATATCTTTAAATCCAACGACAGAATGACGACAAGTAGATAGCTGGCACTCGTTAGAAAGTCTGAGGGATAAGTGACAACATCCACGTCAACTGTGGCATAGATTAAACATAAAAACAATTTATCGCTCATAAGTCTGACCTGTGTGATGAAGTTCATCATCCTAATGAGACATGCACAAGAAAGGCACTCGCTTCAATTCAAGCGGCTTATCTATCGATATGAGAATATCAATTCATAATTTTTAGATGCTACTCCTGCGAGATCATGCTACATCACCACAAAAGGCATGCATAGAGGAGAGTGGATCCGATACCGCAGCCAGTAGACCACTCAAGCCGACAGCTCCCCAGTGACCAGACCAATCTACAGACTCCTGTTTCGATCATAATAGAACAATCAATCATTTAGATCAGTATACTGAATTGTGCTGAAGTGGAGCGGAAATTACAATATGTTTCCAGCAATCAGATGACTTAGAACATCCACGACAAACAGTTCTGTCATATGATCTCTCCAGGAAAATCGCTGATGACAGAGATCACAAATTCCACACACTTACTGCAAGGAAACCCAATCTGCTCAATTTACTTACGACGGGAGTGAGCAGAAGTGCAGCTAATTGAAAGAATAGAATCTTTGCGAATGAGTTACTGCAGCTGACCTTAATTTCACCGTCAAACCCAACACTGACATATATATATATATATATATATATATATATATATATATATATATATATATATATACACACCATGCATCGAGATCTAAACAAAAACTGTGATGATACTCACTTGTCTCACATTGATGTCAACTGTGGCATTCGTCCATATTACCCTTGGCAGGAGCAAACCTGCCAAAGAGCTAGGCACAAACATGCACAGAGCAATCCATGGCCGCGAGAACCTGCAGATTGACTTTACTGTCAAGCTAAATATATATGTGTGGTTCCCAATTTACGTAAGTCTAACTTTTACTTATCTGTGCTTTTTTGCCAAAATCGGGGTTTCTCTATGTTGTTATTCTCCGGTAAGTTTCTCACTGACATACTTGCAGCATATAGCAAACTTCAACGTAGTAACATAAGACAATCACTACTCAGACTGGAAAAGAAAGCTAGAAAGGCTCAGGAGAAAATGGACTAGGAAAGTCGATATTGATGATAGTTTTGTGAATACACGATACTTCATTAGATTATGCTGCTAAAGGTAGCACGTCTATTCGAGATAACATATTACGAACATACTGAGTGATATTCCACATTCTCATTTTGTGCGACAAAGCTCTGATACTTTCATATAGTGGAGTCTATACTTCCAATGTGACTATCTTCTTCTGAATGCGAGATGGCAATGGTCAACTCTCCCGCAAGCGTGTTGTCAAAAGCAGTTCACCAAACATTTTGTGGAGGTTCTCATTCCGGGTTTACAGTTGAACACGAAGTACCCGATGGTGGGCGGTTCACTTCGGCTTTCAATTGGAATATGATTGTTCACAAAGGAGAAGGTGATGCTGAAGAAAAATCAAGCTAATATTGCTTGACATGGGTGTTGCGTAAGGCTCATGTCATACCAAGTTAGTGCAGTAGTAGATACGGATAATCGCATAATCGCAAGGACCACAGGGAATAGAATTCCCAAAAGCAGAGCGACAGCTTGTACCATCCATCCTACACCAGACAAACAAGCATGTTCATTAACATCCAGTTGTACCAAGGTAGCGAGGACACTATACACGTACCAAGAAAGACCTAGTTTAAAGAATGTTGCGGTGACGGCGTATAGATCAAGACAAGTGACAAATCAATAAAAATCCAGTTGTCTGACCAGCTAGACGTAAACCCAGGAAACCATCGATTGACTTTAACAAGCTGTCATTGCACCTACCTTCGACCTTGTAAATCTGAAATAAGAGTTGATATAAACCCTGATTTTATTGCTCTTTTATAGATTTTGTCTATAGTTGCACTTTCCTCTCCTCTCATGAACCCCATCTCAAACATTCGTGTGCAATAGAAGATAGATGACCAACAATTACAAGGCTATGAATGGATACAGATGCATAAAAAAGGCTCGCATCTCATCGTCAGCATAACCACTTTGGAATGGTAGTATCACAATAGCGACGTCGGTAACTAGCCGAGCCTGATTGCTTGAACTAGGTTCCCTGCAAGCTTTGCGCTTTCAACACCAAGGTAAGGAAAGGAGAAAGTGAAGACACCGAGGATACCTTGAATAATATATTTAGCTCGAGAACCAGCAGTTGGAAAACCCGACACTAAAGGCGAGGTTATTGTTGGAACAAGAAAGACAATTGCCAAGGGCATAAGGTGTAATGCTGATGCCACCTTGTACGGGTAAAAGACCTGCCAATACAATAATAATCTAATTAGAGGAGCGGTAGATTGATAAAATAAGCTCGTTCCCATAAGAGAATGATGTAGGATGAGGGCAGGAAATTCACTAAGAGAAAGTTCCAAAGCAGAAGCAAAAATGTGGGGAACTGAGAGCTCAAGAGGTCATTATTATCGCTGGTCATGCAGGAAATGCATACCAAAGAGATACGAAGGTTTCCAATTTCCTCATTCAGCCTCATACATGTTATTCTCCTAAACAAGTAAACCGAGACCGATACTCGACAGCAATCTTGGTGAGAGAAGGTTGCAACAATGAAACCAAGGTAATTGCTGACTGCAGGACCCGACAGAAAGTTTGATCCAAACAGGGAGTAAAACAGTGATAGGCAGTCGTGGTTTCACCAGCTCCTAAATTTCTGAAATAAAACCTAGATTTGTTGCATAACGAGGTAGCCAGAGAGACAAATTAAGGGGGTTTTCTTTTGTAGGAAACACACCATAAACATGCCCCAAATGTCAAAAAAGACCGGGCGCCGTTCCACAGGTTCGTTAGCGGATGCCTCTTTCTCTTCTGCTCTCGCAGCAGCTCCTTTCAGTTCTGGAGCGCTAGTAAACCCCTTTACAAGGGCGATAAGATTCTCACCTCGGGCCTGTAGACTTCCAGGTCTGTTCGTTTCATCAAGATCGCTTGTCAGGTCAAATCACGACCGGGAAAAACAAAGAAACTAGAAGTCTGAGAATCTCAAGAGAAAGGTTCCTAGTGTAACTTACACCATGGCCTCGGGTTTGTCGTATGGTGTGTGGTACACATTGCCCTTGAGAATAAATACTATATCTAGTCCTGGTACATCACCAAAGTCTTGAGAGAAGATCCGGTAATCTGTATCTCCTGGTATTAAGGGGAATATATCCTACAGCAGTTTGGAGATCAAAGTATCAATATTCAACAAAACATACAGTGCAGTATAGTCTGACAGCATACGCATGACGAAATGACGAAAGTAGATCGAGAAGACCAGTAACCTGACCAAAAAAATTTAGAAACCTCACACTCGCAATTGCCATTCAAACTACAAAAGTGCATGTGACTGATCAGAAGTATTTAAATATCTGATGTACAGTGGACAAACGAAAATTGGTCATTTCAACCAGAAAATGGTAGGATTTGGACCTGCGCGACAGCATTTGCCATAGGATGCACTGCAGACTCATAATACACTCTTGATGGCCAGGATCCAGGCCCAGATTGTACGACAAGATCTAAGAAGGGCCAAATAGTGACAAAATGTTAGAAATCACTTGAAATTCTTATCTGCATCTTCTTCACAGTCATTCATATGCTTTTGACATCTCGATGCTAGCAAAACAGTTGAAACCCATCGAGGACAGGACCATTCACCTATCGATCATGATAAGCTGAACCAAACGAATGCTTTCCAAGGACATAGTTGTCAAATGCCATGAGTTAGCATCCATGAATCACAAAGGGTAAATGCTCTTTTGTGTGGAACAATGAGCTCATACCAGGTCCACATGCACCAGAAGCTTCGACGTTGATTACAGCGCCTATTGATGCACGCCATTTATGTGTGGTTATAAAACCATGAGCTGCCTGATACACTAACACCATTTTGTCATAAGAGAGCTTTGTTCATTATCAGGCACCAATGACTACTGGTGCGAGTAGAATTTACACATACAGCACAGAGAATATTCGATTCATGCTGGCGAGGTACGAAATATTTCGACACAGAACCTCGTCAAATCCATGAGATTCCAGTACAACGATAATCTTGGTTACAGTTCTCACATTCTCCGCAGTGCTGACACGGAAAACATTGGGAACTGAGTAATTCTTGAAGCCCAATAACACCGTAATATCCTACGGTGTTATTGAGTTTCTAGTTTATTGACCACTCGTTCGCAGTTGATTCCTTCAGTGGAAAAACTATGTTTCACTATGATATGACTATGTTCTTCACAGACAACCTGCGGTCTGTCTGCGAAGAACATTTAACAACCGTAGAATATGTATGGTAGCGTAACTTACAAGAAGAAAAAGCTCCTCAGCACCGTTAAAAAGAAAGATGACAGGAGCCGGCGGGACCCAGTTGGTGTCTATCAAATAGCGAAGTGTTTCAAGCAATGAAGCTGCAGATGTAATAGAAGGTTAGATGCGTTACGGCAAATCATTCTCAAGCCTTCCCAAGAATCCACCATTTGGTCCAACATCCACCCGCATATTTACATATGAATAAAACGGAAAGAATCTAGACATATATAACTCCATCTTAGCTATATGGTTGGGTATTAGTCGGGTAGACTGAAGATGCACAACTATCATATCCACTGACAGAGGACCTCTGAATCTTACCTACACATGAAGCGCAATCAGATGCACCAGGAGATCCAAGTGGACCATCGAAATGGGCATTTAGAAGTAAAGATGCTGCATCTTCGCGAGCGTCTTTAGCAGAAACTCTGTTCAAAACCGGCAACCGAGTAAAACGTTTTCAAGACGTTTCTCTCATTCAATCCTAATTCCACTGACCTCAACCCAAGCCTCTGCCTCTCCCTACCTGTTCAACGACTTTTCGCGAAAGGAAAGAAATACCAAGTGGCTCTTACCTCACGGCTATATTTGTGTGATTCCTGTAAGTGAAACTGAGGCTGTGTTGTAAAAATACTAGATTGTATGAACCATCCACGAAGGATTCATCGACATCAACGCTGCAACAATAATAACATGACAGATTAGTACCATCTGGAAGTAACCTGCGGGGCATTTAGGCACTAGAAAAACCCTCCACTTCCAAGTCTACTTCTTTTCTTCCATAAGTTACTTTAGGTGAATTCAGCAATAGCCAATATACAAACGCGACAGCTCCAATATTCGCTTTGCTAATTGATGTTTTCATTCGTTACAGTATATGGGATGTAGTGCTTACGTGACACTGGAACTTGCTCTCTCCTTCAACTGATTGAGTTCGTCTTTTATATACTTTGCAGCTTGATCTAGACCTTTTTGCCCTTCCTGGTACATGTGAAGATCAAAGTGCACACGAAGAGTAAGCAAGGGAGAGTGCCGGTGAAAATATTCCATAAACGGTGAGGTGCTTGTATCATACAACGACAAGGTCCCCGACTGAACAGTTACGAGATAGATGTCTCATTTCCTAAATCTCTAACATCACTTATGACAAGCTCTATGCATTCTCTAACACTTTCGATAAAACCAAACTTTGAGCTTTCCACTCGGGATCATCTAAGAAGACTGCCTTCTTCGACTTTGGTTCTAAGATAAACTCAACTGCAGCTTCATGAAGGTAACCCCATTATGGAAAACTGATTAAATAATTGATTAGGTCAATTAATAATTATTCAACTCAAAAGACTTGACTCCTGTAGACTAGAGGAGAGATTCTGGTCTACAGCGGAGAAACTGGATCAACAAAACTGCCTGTCAGTATTCCAAAAGTTTGTAAATAGAAAAATGCAGATTGAAAATGTGAAGTGATTCCATAAGAAAGAATGTAGGAGGTTGAGCTTATTGGTAGGAAAGTGTACAACTGAAAAAATCTTAGACCATCCGAGAGTATGTTGGAAAGTTTGTAAGAAAATTGCAATATTGTACACAAGAATCCTAATCGCTTAGATGGATCACTTAGATTAATACAATCAGAAACTTATCCAAATGATTCATTGAGCAGGTGTTACAGTAGGTATCCCACCAGGCCATGGTTACGTGTATGAAGAATATACAAACAGACACTGATGAGCTAGCCATGTTTTAAGATATGTAAGGTGGACGTAGTGATACAAGGTTTCAGGCAACATACCTATCAAAGCTCTAGATGTGACCTAAAAAAAGGCATCAGAGTGGCAAGATGGTCATTATATGCCTATCTTGCATGATATGGAATGAAATATTTACGAAACACATATGATAACACTCGTGCTTCCAAGGAACTTGCCAAACACACGTTGCTACGTATGCAGCTTGGGTTGAATGTATCATTTGCCGTATAGAATGAAAATAGGTACGAAGGCTACTTCGGAGCTTCCAACATCATATGATGCTAAACAAAGCACAGTACATAGTACATACACAAACATAGATGAACCATCGAAGAAGAAAATCGAATTATATTGACTGTCCTTCTTATTTGATGGGAGACATATATGCTCTGTCTTGCATGCGCATCACCATGATACAGAAAACTAAAATTCAAAGAAAAACTTGAAGGAGCATAAAAAAGAAACTAAGTTTTGTGGAGGATGGACGGACTGGAGGTTGAAGACAATCACAACGTACCGAAGGCTTATATTTCACGTAAAGAAAAATTGAGGTGACCTGAAAGTTTGGATAATTTCCAGACTAAGGCCGAAGTGGAAGGCAAATGCTCAGGAAAGAAGGGCAAACCAAAAAAACAAAAATGTTGACTAGAGACCCACAAAAGTATGGTGTGCTTGAAACGCTTCAACTGTGCGCTGACAATGTGAGGGATCGATCAAGACGAGCTCCTTAAAACTAGGGAATTCCCATTTCGATACTGCTTAAAAGTATTGGACTTGAACACGATCGCAAAAACAATCACGAAAACCCCCTATTATCGAACACAAAGGTCTGTAAAAAATCTATCATTGTCAAATCAGCAAACGTTACTTTTGGAAGAAATCAATGTAACCACTCTAGAAAAAACTTGAAACGAAATCTAATTGAATTCTGCAGAAAGCCCGTGCACACAAGTTGCTCTCCAGGTAAACACGTTCCAGACAGTCTGCACGGTGAGGAGGAGACACAAGTGTTCTGATCATATAAACAAGATCAAATGTCTGTTATAATTAGATCAAAAAGTTCAGCGGTAGAGGTATAACAGGAAGATTTAACAATTCCTCTGTATTTGTCAAAGAAGATGATTTGAGATAGTTAATTCAGAAGTGTGAATGTAGCTGGACATTTGAACCTATACGAGCATTCTTCAGGTGAAGGATCTTAATGTGCGCTGATCAGTACAGGAGTAGAGTAAAGTCGTCCTAAAGAGAATGAAAGTCATCTCTATTGCGCTGTGCACACAATCTTCTCTCGTTGTGTATGGCGAAATATAAAAATCGAAGTTTTCTTTCCCCTGTAAGATTATTGCACGAACTGAAGGCTGAGCTTTCCGTAACACCCACCCGAATAAATTCCATTCTACAGTGATCGAGAAAAGTCGAGCTCAGAAAGAGATAATGAGAGAGTAGCAGCTCCAGCTAGGATAGGAGTGCGTTGATATGTCGGGTTACATACTGAGCTCCCACCTAGAAAACGCGCGATCCTAGTGCGATGTGCGCATCTCAATTACGTGAATTCAAAGCCACCAAAAGGTAAGACTCCTGTAGAGTACCTGTCTGCCTGTGATATCTCCAGACAATCTAAAAATATGGTCCATAGCTCTCCCTTCCGAGAAATTGTCCGATGTCGCATTCTTGGATAACGGCACGACGAATCCCATGTGCATTGCCTTAATAGCCACGAGCGACAAGGACCCATAAATTAAAATCAACAACAACAGCGCAGGGACGGCGAGATCGGTTTCCGGAGCTGCAGGATACAACGACTTGACTTTGGGAGCCTTCTTTTTGTCCTCCTCGGCATTCGATTCATCGTTGTGCACGCCACCGACAGATTCAGGGACAGCCTCCTCGGGTACACGGCGCCTCATGTTCGCTCCCGGGACTTGGAGCTATCGGAGCGCTCTTCGAGTTCACAGACTTGTCATGAATCTGCAGAAATCCCGTCGCTCTTCGAACTCGAATTGTGTCGATCCGCGTCAAGACCAGCGCCGACGATATTTCCTGCGTCCCAAGGAGGCTCCTCACGCCACCCTCCCTCCCCTTCCTTTGCTTTCCTTTGCTTTCCTTGGCTCCCCTTTCCTTCCCTTTCCCTTCGCTGCCCGTCCCTCCGTCTCTCGTCGTCGTCCTGGGCCCGAACTAAGAGCCGAGAGCGCAGCGCTTACGAAATGTGAAACATCAGCAAGCATTGTTAGACGAGGCATCGAATCACGGACGCCTCTGCGCCGCCAGCTTTGCGCGGCCCTCGAGTCCACGTGGCGGCCGCCTAATGTCCGCGAGCCTCCTACGGTGACTCGACGTTCCGTCCGCGACCCCGCGACCCCGCACCCGTCAGACGATCTTCACCTGCACCTGGGCGCTGATTTTCAGTTGCTGCGCCTCGGATTCTCATCGACGGTTATGGCTTGCGGGCAGATTCGGTCAAGGAGGTTCTTTCCCCGATTGCCTCCAGAGCTCTTGGATCTTCGCATCAAGGGTGAGAGTGAGAGCTGGATTCCTGTCTAGGCAAGAAGTGAACGTCGGTCTCCGTTGGAGTTATGAATGCCTACTCTTTCCTTAATTGGGGAGATTTCAATACGGACGGAGTAGTATAGCCAGGGGTATGGGAAGACCTTGGAAGACCAGAAAGTCAACTTGTCGAATCTCTACACATGATTGGGTTAACTATTGTGGCATTCAGAGCCATATTTTGAAAATTCATATACAGAACATTACTCACATTTTGATTTACTCGTTTAATATTGTCCAATTACAGAAGGTTTCATATAGAACTTTATACAACTTCTATGATATGTTACTTAGATATTCTTGATCTTATTTTATATTGATTATTATACTTAAGTATATATGAATGCTCACGAAAATCACTATCTAGTTAAAATTAAATAATAGAAAAAAAAATTCACCTAATTTGCTTCTTTAATTTTTTAATTAACTATCATTCTATAATTGTAAGACTAAAAAAGTTTCATTAGATAAACATTTGTGAAAAATGTACATAGTTTTGTCACTTAAATATATTATATGAATGCCATAATGGTAAATCTTACCTGAGCTCTTGTAAAATTAGGTTTATCAAAAACAGCATTGAGCTTTTGTGATAAATCCAAAATCATTATTGAGATTCTCTTTCAAAATATTTTTATCTAAAAATATAATTTGAAATATCATCTAGACTATTTATTGTTGAAAACTACTTGTGTTTAACATATAATGATATATTTTCACTTGTGGTGTAAAAAATATATGACATAAGTCAATATGACACAACTTCATCAAACACATGTGATAATGTACCCAATAATTATAAATCCCATAGAGGTTATATATTTCTGCAAGAAGAAATTATCCGATAAAATTCTTCTTTTAATATCATTTTGAGTAGATTTTAAATTTCTTTCCGTCTCATTGTACATAACGTTGAATTTAGAATGCAGAATCATCATCATCAATAAAATCATATTTCAACTCATTTCTTGTTAACATTTGACATAATATTTATTTTTTTGAAAATATTTTAGATAATTTGTACAAAGATTTGCAATAAAAAAATCACTTTCTTTGTTCAATAATGAAACCTTTTATAATATAAATTTATGTGTAACATCATTTATTCAAAAAATATCAATAAAATTATTGAAATAAACTTATAAATATTTTTTTAAAATATTTAAAATAATAATAATAACTAATTTATTGATAATTATATTCAATTAAATGTAATAAAATTAAAAAAAAACTAATATTATGCATGATGCATATTCAATCAATAAAGAATCAGCATTTATAATTTTAATCTCTACAAAGATATCTTTTTACATTGTAATAGTATTATATACATGAATTTGATATCATTTTCGTTCACATGTCATATGTTAACGTAAAACCAAGAATCATTCAAGCCAAGTACGAAGACACAAGACACTCATATAACGTGGTTCACCCTCGAGTACTACGTCCACGGTTGGAACACTGAGTAGGTTTATTGACAAGTGAATACACGATACTTCAGCTCCTCTAAGAAGCCTTGGCTTTGGGGGTATATTTATACCCAAAGCCAGTGACACATATAGCTATAAATAGCTAGAGCATGAAGTTACTCCTTAATCGGAGTTAACCTCAACACTCTCCCCCTTAACTCGTGTTAAGGAAACAGTATCTTCTGAAACCTATATTATTACTCAGCGGGAAGTTCTAGACAGAAGCCTATCACAAGACCCCTCTTTATATGAGAGTTAACTAGAACTAGACCGTAGCCATAACAAGATAGAGTAATAACATAAAGAGGTAAATAGAGTTACTATGCTAGCAAAGTTTACATGTGCTCCCCATGCACAACTTGCATGGTAGCACAGTGTCGTCTGAAACTCTCCAATGGAATAACTTTGGTCAAAGCATCAGCTAGATTGAGTTTACCGTCGATCTTGACTAGCTCAATCGTTTTATCAGACACTGTTTGTCTGAAAAAATGATACCTGATGTCAATGTGCTTCACTCTGCTATCCATGACCTGGTTTGCGGCCAAATGTAAAGCGCTCTGGCTATCACAATGAATATTAACCACGCCTTGCTTCAATCCCATTTCCATGATAAGCCTATCCAGCCCAATAGCTTCCTTTGCCGCTTCTGTTGCTGCCACATATTCAGCTTCTGTTGTTGACTGAGCTACACATTTCTGCAAGGTAGACCTCCAACTAATGCTTCCACCGCCAAGTGTAAATATATACCCAGTCCTTTTATCTAAATCTTGTCCGTAGTCAGCATCAACGTAACCAAACAAGGATTTGGCATTGTCTAATAGACCATCAAACAATAAGCCATAATCCAGAGTACTTTTCAAATATCTCAAAATCCATTTCACTGCTTCCCAATGAACTTTCCCTGGATTTGACATGTACCTGCTCACCTTGCCCATCGCAAAAGCAATGTCCGGCCTAGTGCACACCATCAAATACATGAGGTTGCTTACTGCTTGTTCATAGGGAACACATGACATATTTCCTTTCTCCACCGCATCCGTAGAACATTGAGCTCTAGAGAGTTTGAAATCTGCTGCTAAAGAAGTCCATACTCCTTTGGAATCCATCATGTTGGACCTGTCAAGTATACGACAAACATACTTGCCTTGACTCAACCATAATTTCTTCTGCTCATGATCTCTGTGTATCTCCATGCCTAATATTGTACTCCCCCATATACTTCATCTTAAATGCAGACTTCAACTTACTCTTGCATTCATCAACATCGGATTGGTTTTTTGCCAATATGAGCATATCGTCAACGTATAGTACTAAAATGATGAGATTGAACGTCTCATCATTTACCTTCTTCATGTAAACACAAGGATCATACAGGCTCCGCAAAAATCCTTGTGCCTTCATGAACTGATCAAATTGCGTGTTCCACTGCCTAGGAGCTTGTTTCAATCCATTCAATGATTTCAATAATTTACAAACCAACCTCTTTTTGCCTTTGACATCAAAACCAACCTCTCTTTGCCTTTGACCTCAAAACCAACAAGTTGTCTCATGTAGATCTCCTCCTCTAAATATCCATAGAAAAAAGCTGTAACTACATCCATCTGATCCATAACAAAATCAAACATCGCAGCCAGTGCACAAACCAGACGAATTGTAGCATACTTAGCTACCGGTGAGAAAACTTCGTTGTAGTCCACGCACTTCTCTTCGGTGAAATCTCTAGCCATCAACCTAGCTTTGAAGATTTTTGCCTCGTCTCCTCCTAGATTGTCTTTCAGCTTGTACACCCACTTGGAATCAATCAGCATTTGATTGGTAGGAATGTCAACCAGCTCCCAAGTCTTATTGTCAATCAAGGATTCCATCTCCCTCTCCATAGTAGCATTCCACTCAAGCTTATTGACCGAAGCTTGAGCTTCCCTGTATGAAGAAGGTTCATCTTCTTCCAAAATCAACGCTATACCATCACTATCTTCGATATCAAAGTCACAATCTTCTAGAATGGATGAATTTGCCTTTGTAACGACTTGACTCAGTTAGGGTCTTGTTGGAAAAAGCTCAACCTGCTCGTTCCAACGAGACCAAGAACTCTTGAAACGGATGAGAGATCACTGAGTTATGAGCGTCAAAAGCGGCTGACATGATTAGGCGAAAGGCCTTTGGCGATAACAGATAGAGAGGCGTTCGGCGATAACAGATAGAAGGTCCTTCTGCCCAAGAAGTTGCAAGTAGGCGAGTTGCAAGGAGTTGCAAGTAAGAAGCTTGCGCATGGGCGAGTTGCACGTAGTAAGCCTGTGTATAGGCAAGTTGCGCGTATGCGAGTTGCGCGTAGGAAGCCTGTGTATTGGCAAACGCCTTCGGCGGAAGAGTAAAACAGTGATAACTTTTTCAATTCTTAACGGTTTAACTTAGTTAGGGGCTCGTTGGAAAGAGCTCAACACGCTTGTTCCAACAAGCCCAAGAACGTTTCAAACGATGCAGCGATCTGTGAGTTATGAGCGTCGGGGGTGTTTGTTATAGATAGGCAAAGGTGCGGAAGAGTGTCTTCGGCGGGGGATGCCTTCGGCGGTGCGCGGAAGAAGATTTCGGACTGCGGATGTTGGCGTGGTCATGAATGAAGAATGTACAAGTGTGGCAGTGGCGGCGGCGTGAAGTCAAGCGTGATAAATAGGACGGCGGGGCATAAAGTCTAGATGGGAACGTGGAAACCTTGATTGTAGATGACAAATGCAAAAATTTGAAGAAAGAGGCAAAAGAGTGGATAGTTTTCTGTGGAAATTATAGGTGACGTAAACATTCAAACTTGAATCCATATTTGGAATGCAATGAATGAATTATCTTGAAATTTTTGGATTATCTTTACAGTCGAATAGAAAAAAGGCTAAACTTGATCCTAGATAAACCGTTTTGAGTGGTCGAATGAAGCGTATGACATAACTCAGCGTCGTCAAAGATGAACAGATAGTTCGGAGTAAGGTGAGACATTCTTACTCGTGACGTATAGGTTTTTCAATATTTAATCTCTAATTAAATATCTAGGTATTATATTCTCGTTCCGATATGAAAATGTGTGTTCATTTTAGATTGTAGTCTCTTTATTACAATTAGACATATGGCAGTTATGACATGGTTTAAGAGTAATGTGATTATTATTTTTACATGGTGAGATCTCAAAGATAGTTTTTAATAAATCAGAGAAAAATGATTGTGTAGAACCCATAAAGTTTTTTTTTCTATGTATGTAGATATGTCGGAGTAAGTTAAAAAATGGGGAGCAAAGGATGAAGTAAAAAGATGGATGCAAAAAAACAAACATTCTCTTGAAGTGGGGAGATAATTAAACGGCATTTTGCCGCATGTGGTACATAATTGATCCTTGAATATATCTAAGAGTGCACAATGTGCAGTGACCACTAAAGAAAATTAGAGTCACTCGAGCTTGAATGAATATCAATCAAGATGTTGATGTACATGACATCAAGACTGTTTACATACATATCACTTACGCTTTCATCCGTATATTTAACTATACGCTTTAAACTCTTGAAATTTGTAGAGTGATCTTGTTAAATGCTTCAGGTATTGTTTAACCTCAATTTACAAAAAAATTACCTATTTTTGATCATATTGTGCGGCATGTAGAACCTATTCATGGTCGACAACAAATTAAAATGATCTATTTATGCCAAGCTAGGAAAAATTGTTGACTTATAAAAATTGGATCTATATGTCAACTAGCCATCTGGTTCAATCCTTGTGTCATTGAGGAGATTATGCTTGAGTTATCTCAACTTGTCGGTCAATCAACTATGCGATTCCATTCTTGTTGCAAATTTGTTAAACTCACACTTTTTGAAACTTTTATGGTTTGGAAATCAAAATTGTATGGAGTTTTCATTAACAAGAAATGCAAGTTTTCTTATTTCCGTTGCAATTGTAATTTTCATCTTCGTCTTGTCATTAAATGGAGAGATACGTGAGTTTTGTATTTTCATTATATGTTCATGATGACTTTCGAAGTAATAGATTAAGTTTAGTTTATAACGATAGTCGGATTAATCATTATAATTTTAGCATTGAAAAAAAAATTTGTAATTCCTCAACATGGAACAATGGATTATGTTTAGTTTTATTACAGTCTCTTACATTGGCTTTCTTAAATGTACGTATCTCCGTATAATGAATTATGCATACGATATATAGTTGACAAATGCAAATTACAAACTTATACAACAAAGAGTAGTGGGCACTTTTTCTAGATAGTTGAATTGAGATTGGATCTATGAAATAATGAATCATGCTCAATTTAACTACGGTCATTTTCACTAACCTTCTTAGATATATATATTGCATGATGAGACTTTTTTACACACGATATTCAGCTCACAAAAGTAAATTTTGAGTTTATATTACAAAGAATACTGAACATTTTTTCTAGATAATTTGAACGAGATTGATAAAGTTGCAATGAATCAGACATCGATCACACTCTTTTCAACTTTGTCACTCTCATCACAAAAATGAAACAAAACTTGTCAGCTAAAATTTATCTCGTTAATTGAATCAAAGTTTATCAACTCGGAAAGAAAAAAGGTGGTCATCCGTCATTCTGAAGAGTCAAGCTACACAATGAAGTTGACACTTGCACCAAAATCAAGTGAATTTTGAATCAAGGAGAAAATAAGTGGCATATGACTATATTACTTTTGAAAAAAAAAATTATAATTAGAAAAAAAATATCATTGACTTTTAGAGAGAAGCCATCTGTGAGGTGGTTATTTTTTAGATAGCAAAAATAGTACTAGATTTAATTAGTTTTTTAAATTATATAGTTTTATCTTTACGTTCCAAGATATTACTCTAACGAGCATGTGCGTAGACTTTCATATTTAAATTATACAAGATTTTGGAATTTCTGTTTGAAGTTTGCATTGGTTTTGATGAACATAAAATAAAAAATAATTGTTTACTAATAGTTGTTTCTCGGACCATATGTATTTTTTGATATCACTGATGGAAAGGAAGATGGAAGTAATAACTAAGCTTCCTGGTATATGAGCAACGAGGCCAAAGTGAGAGTTGACCTGGAGAATTATACACTTGGAATCGAGAAATAGTGTCTTAGAACTTTACTCATATGCATGTGAGAAATAATTCTCTTGTTTGTTCCTCGTTTTCCGGTGATGTAGTTTGTTCAAGAAGTCCAACTTCCACTTAGTGTCTTGTTATTTTAAACTTTCTAACGATACATCTGTAAGAGTTAGACTATGAGATTGTGAGGTGTACTTGGTGTTTGACTTGTTTAATCTAGGTGGGAGGTAGTATATCTGAGTGACACCTTGGTGACATCAAGTTGTTATTTTGCCACAAATTATGTGGAGTGAAAGTAGACGTAGCAATGACAATCCTCAAGTAGATTTGACATCCGACAACTTAATAAATATCAAATGTAAGTTACGATATGACATGATTCAATTGTTTTCTTTCTCCTACAACTTCACTTTAATGGATCCGGCTATATGACAAGATACTTACTATCAAGTAAAGCATTATTGGTGTAAATACTTCAAGACAAGTTCTTGACACCATGGACATCTTTTTGTTTATCTTGACTTTTAGTGTGGAGTGTGTTGGTTTTGTTTTGTATAAATGACAAGAGACTCTAGTGATTAGAAAGCTAACACTTTGGAGAGTAAAAATGTCAAATGTTTAATAAAATTTTCAGTTTGAATTGTAAAGTAGTTAGATAAGATCTTTACTCAATTCAAATTAAAATACTTCATGTGGCAATATGCTAACACTCATTATCCGTCTTACATTTTCTTAGATTTTACAGTTATGCAATTGTAAGACGTAGACTAGAACGTAATAAGATTGAATTGGTGTTTGAATGTATGTAGAGTCACTAGTAGGTAGAAGAGACATTCATATTACAAAAGAGTGCATCCACTAATGTTTAGATATGTGCACAACAACAATGATAATATAGACCGCGTTGAACAAAGTAAAATAACGCGCTAAATGAAATCAAAGCATGTCAAACATAGACAAAAAATGCATCAAATAACACACTTATAGAATGTTTGAGACTGGTGAAACCCTAAACATATGATAAAAATGTTATGCTATTTTTTGTAAATGACATTTTCCAAGAATGATGTGAAATCCTAGCACAAATATATGTCATAATTGGTAGGTTAAACTATGTTTATAAAAAAATTATTCAAAAGAAAAAAAGCATAACAATGATATAAATGATCAAAAATTTATTACTTCAAATCAAAATTTATTTAATTATTATATGCATATACAACTTTTACATCATGATGTGAAAATATTATGTAAAAACTATATATATCAAGACATATGATTGATTAATAAACTTTGAACAAAGGAGTATAATATAATGTATAGATGATACACAAAAAGAAGAATTATTTAAAACAACATGACAAATAATCTTCATAAGAAAAAGATATTGGAAGATTTAGATTGATTATCAATTTTTTTTATTTTTTTTTGCATCAACGTAAAGAATATTTATTTTGTGAATTTAATATGTGAAAGTTATTATAAAACTATGACATGTATTATTGGATTAATTTCAAATGTCAGAATTTTTAATCAACATATTTATATAAACAATCAACACAAATGCAATTGTAATTAAATCAATATTATGAAAATAAGCCACATTAATTGAAAATATTTTAACTTAATGTTTAGATCATTTGTTTAAGTAATGTTTATTATAATTGGTAAATGCAATTATAAAGCTTTAAAATCATTACGAATTATATAGCTACAATCAATACATACAATTGATATGTTTAATTGATAACAAAATAAATTGCAACATAAATCAACATTACAAAAAATATAGTTGTTTTAGTTTCATATATATATTATGTATGTACTTACATATATATAAGCTAAAATATACATATGATTTATTATTTTACATATATATATAAAGTAAACTTATGCAAATGTTATACATGTCTTAACTTTTACTAACTTGTTCTCATTAAATTTTTCCTTAACATTTGGTTTTACATATAGGACATTGTTATCTTCTACCATGTTAATTTTTTTTGGGTTCTTTTACAAAATAATTTCTTTTTACATATGCAATCTTATGATTAGAAGTAAGTATTTTAGGTTGGATTAGATGAACCTCTACGCTCTTCCCATAAATCTACGATACAATTTCAGGTTCTTGGATGAGACAATAGTCTGTGTTATTGGATATTCATTACTTATGAGTTCAAATTATCAAATGATATTGTTGATATGCATGTCTTGCTGCGATTTCTTCCCTCCATCTCCACCACGATATTGTTCTTTTCCATCTCATCCATTTTTGGATTCAAAATCTTATCTAACCCAGTTTGATCCGTGTGGGACATCCTCATGGGCCAATTCTCATCCCCATGCATCAACGTAAAAGTCACGGTTCAAGACATATTGATTTTCTTTGTCATTCATGCCACGAGAAAATATCACAAGGTTCAGTCCTAGCGTCACATGCATTGAAGTCAGGTAATATTTTCGGAAGAGGACCAAACTTCAGTAAATGCTACATACTGCAATAGAATAATATAATTAAATGCATAGATGTAAAATGATTCTAATATTTTCCCAAATGATGTAGTACTATTGGATGTGTAAATAAACAGAAATGTAAAATAATTGATGGAGGTGGATATGACTGCATTATCTGGAAGGGAGATCATGTTTCGGCCTCGACCCGTCTTCGAGCGACGGGTCGAGGAAGAAACCCTCGAGTGTGGCGGAACGAGCGAAAATCGAAGATTCGATGTATCCGGTTCGATGGAATGTTAATTTCGGGCTCCGTTAAAGTGGGGTCAGCATTTCCATCTGCCGCATAAATCCCTCGGCTTCGTGGTCCGCATGAGAAAAGCTTCGCGAGCTTAATATTGGGCAGCTACCGCCCTGGCCTGGCAAAACCCTGCGCCGAGGGGAGGGCCTGGGACGGGCTGTCCGAGCGTCGCTCGGAAATCCAGACATGGAATTTGGGCCTGGAGCGAAGCCAATCTGCTCGAGGAGCTGTGCATCTATCCGCTCGCTCTGCCTCGCTGCACGCGAAAGACTGCCGAGCAATCCGACACTGCTGCGGTCGAATTGACGAGGGGCCGAATTTCCTTCGGCTCTGGGGGCGAAAGGAGGGGAGGGGAGGGCAGGGGAGGATTTGTCGCCTGCCTCGCTCGTGCTTATCCCTCGAGCTTCCCCGGAAGGGCGGGGGCGAGGCGCGAGAGCGAGCGAGCGAGCGAGACGAGGAGTGGGACCCGCCGAGGGCAGGAGCGGAGTTCGCAGGCGAGCAGAGCAGGAGGCTGTCGACCACCAGCGCGGAGGCAGGCAGCGAGCGATTTGTGTGTGTGGCAGAACAGTAAGAGAGGGAGGGAGATTCTGTTCTGCTTCCTGGACGAGGAAAGGCCGTTGGGGTTTGTCGATATGACATGAGGGCGAGCATCGCGCGCTCGCGGGAACAAGAGAATGGCGTCGACGAACGAGGACAAGGATCCTCCTCGGAATTGGCAGCTCTTCTCTGACCCTCCTCCCCCCGAAGCCGCTCACCAAAATCTTCCGCTGCTGACCAGTCTTCTCTCCGGCTTCAAACACCACATCTGTCGCAACGCCCTTTCTGCCTTCCACCTCGTTTGCCACAACCGTAAGGCCTCATCGCCTGGTCTGGATGTCAGTTTTTTGTTGAGGATTCATTTGTGGTCCTTTCGGTGTACATATTTGTACCCGTCGTAAGTTCTCGGAATAGAGCTGATAGACAGCTCACGTGCATGATATGCGAGGAACATACAACGCTTGGAAGGTGTTCTCATTGCTTGTTGCTATATAATCATGCCGAGGAATTTGCTGAGTTTGTCATTATCTGTCACAATTGTTGCTGATGAGCGAAGGGTTCAATTTTGGACTCATTGAGTAAAGGATCACAGCTGGCTGTATTGTTATTATCTCTTCAAACGTTACGCAGTGGTTGAGGCTAATCTGTGAGAGTTGTACAAAGTCCTGGTCTAAGGGCCCCTGGTTCTTGCATTTGAGAATTTCGTGCATTGAATCCGCTAGCAACTGCTTGATTTTGTCTCATGTCTGTGTGTTTATTTCAGGTGATAACTCAACAAAGTTTCAAAACTCCTGTAACCGACAGCTTCTTATCACGTATTTGCCGTCACAGAAGCTTTCCTTTTCGTCCAGATCGCCCTGGGGAACAATTCCTACTGCTTCCCTTCTTGGAGCACCTGGCAAGGTTTCTCCAGCTCAACCCTCAACGACTGATGAATCTACTTCAACCGCCGTTGATGGCACTGTGCCTGCTTCAAGCACAGGACCCGCCTTTATTGGGCAGGTATTTACCATGTGCGACGCATCCAGGAGGGGACTCATAGCTGTGCGACCTGTCGATTCCCCAAAGACGAAGAAGATTCCTTATTTGCCCGCTTTCCTCTCTTCGTAAGCTCACTCCTGACCTACTGCAAGGCATCTACCACAACGTAGTTCTTCTGAGTTCCTCGAATTCTTCAACTTTCTATATCGTAGCTCATTATTAATCGTACAATTTGGACAATACGTAGGGCAGTTAACATGATGTGGCCCTTTGCGCATTCCTGCGTAACACGAATCTGCTGCACTTCTGTCGTGGTTTTTGAAGTCCAGGACTACTTTATTCTACGTTGTCTAAAACACTTCGGTGCTTAGAGTCGATCCATGCTTAGAAGTGCGGAGTGTGATCATAAGCAAGGGTCAGCTTGCGTCAAAGGTGGACCAGAATTTTGATGTTGTATATGACTGTGACGAGCAGGAAGCTGGGTGAGTGGGTGGACAAGGCGATCGGGCATGTCAACAAAGAAGACATGAAAGGTCCAATTTTCCGGTTCTACTTCGACAAAGAGGATGCCAGTAAGGAATCGTTTTCTTGCCTTGTTTTTCTTTATATTTGTACGTGAGATTATTGTCTGGTTCTGATTTGACCGCTGTTGTGTAGATACATATGTCAAACAGCTAGGCCTAGCTGGCAGCATGGTTGGTTCGTGTCCCTTAGATGCTGCGTACAAGTATTTTAAGGTACGTCAAGCAGAACAAATTACCTCTCCCGGCCGGAGCACCCAAATTTGTTTCTTTAATTGCTCACGTTTATCTGGTGATCTCAATGTTACCCTTGAGATGTCTTCACTTATTACGTCCTAAGTTTCATGGATGCGATTGGTAATCAATGCCGGAGTTTTGTATCTGTCTAGACCAAGGGAAGCTGTGTTTTGTTAGCTTACTAACAGTTCATCGAAGACTGGGTGGGTGCACGTTGTATCCGAAATGGTGTAACCTCAGTTAAATGTTTGAAATGTATAGACCACTCCGTTTAAAAAAGTGGGTTTTGTCAGGCTTATCACAAGTAGGGATTCAGTGAGTAATGGTTGAGGGAAGACCAGACTCTACTGTATTAATGTTTAAAGTTGTGAATACACGTTTTATAATGGCTTAAGGCTCCTTGGATGAGATAATGAAAATTATTTGCACTACACGACTAACTATGGATCATACTGCAGACCCGAGAAGTTAAACGAGTGAGAAGAAATAGCCCTAACTTTGACGTTTGTAAAGAACCAACAGACCTGAACTACTTGGAATAAGTATTATTTTAAATTTATTTTTTCCTTCTCAAAAGAATTTTTCCTTCTCAAAAGCCAAGAGAATAAACTCTCTACCTATGAGACGTACTTTTTGACATTTATTGTCTTCCCAGTCAATAAATATATGATTGCTGATTATTTTGGGAGAACACTTCGAACATACTAGCTGAAATCAACAGATATTATGGAAATGATATAATATACTGGTTTGAACGGATTACAACTTTCTTTGGAAATTGGTTTCTTTCCAATTAAAGATCCTCGATGGGCTAGCTTGGTTCCGAATGTATGTCATCCTGTAGTTTACTGTCTGTTCCGTTCTGCAGTATATCTTGGCTCCTGGAAGTTCATGTAAAAATCCTCATCGAATTATACGGTGATCCCGCTGTCCAAGGATTGCTCGACTTTAGTTTTGGGACAAGAAGATATTCTTGGGTTGGGCCAGTTGCAGGGCAGTACGAGGTCAACTTAGCTGTTATGTGGAGTAAATTCGTGGAGAAAGAAGCAGTGTCCTTTGCAACTTGAGTTATAGATGCAACCAATTGTTTCTCAGAGGAACTTTACTGGGAGGAAGTGAAGGACAAATCAAACCTCTCCCTAGCTACGCTGTACCTCGAATATACATAATACTTGATGGTATTGGATATGTTCTTTGTTCCTGAAGGATGCTTGTAGGATGAAATAATATCCTCAATCTCTAATTTCTTCCTCGAGGGCGATCCGTGCATGAAGTCGGCTCAGTTTAAACTCCGTATGCTGTTACCCATCCTAATTATAAGAAGAGCAATTTAGGGAACCATTCCACGACTTACACACTGTAGCAGTGAGGACGTAACTCCTGTTCCTAGTGGATGGAATGCAGCTCTCTTTTGGCACAGAGAGCGAAAGTGCTTCATAGCCTGCTCTGCTGCTGGAGTCGGAGCTGCTTACGGTAAATACTAGTCTATATGCATATCTCAAACGAGCAGCCTTTCTTTCTTCCTTTCGACTACCGATGAGTTGATGAACTTCTTGTGGTTGTCACTTGGATAGTCCGAAGTAATCTTAATGACAAGAGTTATGTCCGTATAGGAGAGACCCTCTTATATCTCAAGGAGGCTTCCCTCCTTTCCTTCCACGTCTTCGTCCCCTGCCATGTGCTATTCTTTCGCCACTTTAGCTCTTCGTATAAGCAGCGGTTAGACTGGGCACGGGTCAACGAGATATGACTTGCACATGCACTAAGTACGATAACAAAGTTCCTATCTCATTCACGTAGCACAAGACTCACCACATACACAGACTTTTACATTCAACTTTGGCACTTCGGATCACGATTGACACTGTTTCCTTTGTAACATCAGGAAGGAAGAAAAAGGTCAGGCTCTTAACTAGACTTAATTCGGAGCCTGACCACCCTCTCGAATTCTGGACTAGCAGTTCGAGATTATGAAGATAACTTACTCACTGTTGATGCTTTCACGTAAGCCAGAAATATGCATATATATTGTCTTGATTCACTGAAAGATTTACGGGGAAACTCCGATGTAAAGCGCATTTTTTACGTCTGTCTTTTGCAGGGAAAGCCTCCAATGTTCAGATTTATGCCTGATAAGAAGCAGGTACTTTTTAAGAATCTTCTTGTTTTACAGAGGATATGCCGCTGTTGCTGTTTTCTGCTGATGCTTTGTTGATCACTCTTGTTTTTTGGGGTCAATTTAGACTCAATACTGTTCATGCAAAACTTGTCTCCACTTTTTTTTCTTGCTGAGGTTGTTAATATCCATGTTGGTGCTTTGCAGGTCAAGGTAGCCAAGAAGTTGCTTCGTGACGATCAAGGTAGAACTGCTGCTCGAATGTTCAGAGGTGTACCTGTGTTCACAGCACGAAACTTGACTATTGCCATGTCAACTCCTTCTGGTGTCCGATGGTATGTGTGCTCTGACAAGTGACTGCACAATCTTCGAGCATTTTGTCTCATGTTTTTCTACCCTGAGAAATGAAGAAAACAATTAGGGTTGTTAATCCCGCCTTGCTATTTTGATTGTATCTGTTCGTATCTTTAATTTGAGCTTGCTCGATTTCGCCTACCTTTGATCTGAATGACAGTAGTTCTCTTGTTCCCGTTCTTTCTGTTCTGTTCGAATTCTGGAGTCAATGTGTATGTAATATGCCAGAATTGCTCTCGCACATGGTGATCAAGGTTAATTAATATTAATGCCCTGACCTTTAAGACTGGTGAAGACACTGTTCTATGTGAATACGCCATCAACAGGTCACTGTATCACCTACAGATGACAGAATGTTTTGAACTGTATCCCAGCCCCTTGTATCCGTGTTCACTGGCATGAAACAAGAAACTCAGCAATGTCAAATCTTTGCGCAGGTTTACGCCCTATTTTTTCGACAAGCAACACCTTGACAAATTGATTGGGCACTCCGTCGATCATTATTATCATATGCTTATCCATGCTCGAAGAATGCAGCGACATAGTCAGATTGCTGATGACATGTCAGGAGATCAGCCAGAAGATGATCCGGATGGTTTGATGGATCCTCCAGAGGTGTTCTACACTTCAATCTCGCTGATTTTTTTAACGTAGTAATTGTCGATTGTTACTGTTCAAACCGCCTCTAGCTGGGATGGAACGTTCCAGTCTTATCAGAGTAGGATGGGAGACACCATTTCTCTAGCAGATTGAGTTTTTGTCTTGAGTAATGTGTGGATGTTGAAAAAATTCTAACCCACTCGAGTTGGAGCAGGTTCAAGAGTTTATGGAGGAAATGGGCCAAGGTGGAAATCCCATATTCGATTCGGTGCTGCTGAAAGCAGCGGAAGTACAATTTCATGACATGGTAGACAATGTGATTTTGGGCAATAGACTTAGTCGTCAATTGGCCGGTCTTCAGCCTAGTTTTCCGGTCCTGGTTGACTCGTTCGAGAGAAGGTAAACATGGTGTTTCACTCTAACGGTTTTTCTTATCACTGCTGATGATTATGGAGAGAATCATCGGTTGAAGTCGGTTGTCATGTGTTCTGGGGGATCGTTTCAGACATACCTTCCTAATCTGTTTTGAATGTATGCTGCAAAGGCTAGTATTTTGTACCTTCTATGGACCTGCTTTTTTCTTACTGGGGGAATTGAGATTTTAGTGGATTCGGAAGAAGATCATCCCGGATCTCCCCACGTTAATCATACGACTTGAATGGTATAAGTGGCAAGAAGTCCTATAATGGTCGGGTCACATCGTCCTTTGTTTTTCTCCTGTGTGTTGTGGATACGATCTGACCTGGAGTGGATCGTATTCCAAACTAGGGCTGCGGCTGCCGAAGCCGACCTGAGCGACGGACCCAGAAGCAGTATAGCTAATACGCAGCTTCGATCGAAGGTTGAAGACGCCACGCGTTCTAGAGATTCTGGACATAGCGACGATGGTAGTAGCTCTACTTCTGGGAGAGATTCAGCTGACATTGGATTTTCCGACGGAAGAGTTCAAAAAAACGAACGGGCTGCCAAGACTCCTTTTCAACTTTTTGGCAGAAATTGGGGTTTCCACCTTCAAGGTGGGCGGAAACGACAAGTACCTGAAGAAGACCCTGCTGACGAGAAGCTACAGGCGGAAGGGACAGCGGACAATCTAGGTTCAAGGTAACTTTTTGTAAACTGTCCTTTCTACGCGAAATGCTTTCCATACATGTAAAGGCCTTATGTTTGGGTCTATTATTGTTGTTAACTTCTACTAGCACCTTGCAGACAGTGCGTCTTCAAGTCATTACAGGCAAAAGCTAATATGTACAGGGAAGGTGTATCTTGTTTGAAAACTTTGTTGTTTCCTTCCTTAGGTGCACAGAGACAGCAGTAAGGAAGGAGGAGCCTATCGAGAGAATGCAGCCCAAGTTGACTATGATGGGCATAGCGATGACCGAACCAGATAACGACATGACTGATGCAGTTCTACAGAAAGCTATGGCCGCAGCAGCTAAAGATATTGAAAACAGAGTGCGTAAAGGAGAGGGCTCAGGAATAGAACATGGTCCTCTTTTCATTGCCGATTTAGGTGGCCCTCCAGAAATATGGGGACGAGATGCTTCGTCTTTTCAAGGGTGGGATAGTGATGACAATGAATGATCATTTCCACATGAAAGTCAGGCGTTGATCACTCTTAACCTATCTGCTCATCCTTCAGGAAGTCAAGCCCACGTTGTATCAGTATTTTGTGAACTCCATAGGTTTTGTAGTCTGGCATATCGGCTCCAAAACCGCTTCTCAGAAAGTGCTTACTCAGTGCAAAAGTACCAAGTTTTTGCTCTATAGGAATGATCTTGTGACGTATTACTTGCAACTTTAGAGGTATTGTGTATATTGGTTTGGTTAGGTCATTTCTAAGGTCATTTGCCTGCTGAGGTGTTTATAGGTAATTTGACGGTAAGTTAAAATTTAGAAAATATCAACTCTTGTCAACCCAGTCAACAAGGTTTTTTCTGACCAAGCTACTATCACCGAGTGGCATGAACTGGAAGAGGTTGATTTTGGCGATGTTTCTCAAATGTCAAAGGTTCGTCTTTGCTGCCAAGCTTTTCAGCATCTTAAGGCCTCCTCCAAGTGCTGGGAGTTTATGACTTTACGCTTTGAAAAAAGCTATGCAGTGAGGAATATTTCCAAGGCCAGGAGGTACCAAATTGTAATTGTATAATTGTTCTTAGTATCCAGATCTCGGAGGAATATATATTTGTGCCAGTCACTCGCCTTAGTCATTTGGTGAGTTCGGGCTTGCCTTGATCCGCTCGTTTGAATCTTATCAGTAGTAAACGCATTTTATTAAGTCACTCTAAGTTTCCAGTTAACAATGCTTCGCTCGATGATCTCATACAACTCTGCCTATGCTCTTCAATCTCATAGAATTCTGCTTATGCTCTTCCATGATGTTTTCAACTGAGCAGTGATGCCTAAAGTGGATGGAAAAAAACAGGTACTTGGATTAGCTATTTGTTTGCAAATGTAAATTTTATTTGATGAGAATGTTGAGTTTGGTATATTCAGTCCTAATCATGAGCTCTAGTTAGAAACAAAGGGTAGTCATATTACTTCTCTACTCTACTTTTTTTCTGTAGGTTCTCATCGCCTTTAGTAGAAGCTCACTGGAAGACGATCTGCAACAGAAATCTTCATGGCTGTATTGATGACAGTCATTGTACTGACAATCTTTCCGTGACATTCAAATCTCGTACTTCAAATTGTAACCAATAATCATGCTTCAAGTCGCAATCATGTGTATGTATACTTTCACAACAAGCAGATTGTCAGCGACGAAGATTTTCTGATAACGTAACCTTGGCTTGAAAACACTTCTATATCGACTTCTCCGTCGAATTACCTTAGCATTGTCTGTGTAGTATGGTAACACTACATGTAAAGTTTTGGGATGGCTTTCGGTTTCGTTGACAGTCTAACCCTACAAATAGGACACAATCTGGTCTTTTGATAAATATCAACGGCACATTTTAAGCAGATCTTCGCATGGCCACAAGGTTGCATGAGGGCTCTCGTAGCTTCCTCCCCGAAGTCTAAGAAACACACTGAACATTCCTGCTAAAATGACATTGAAACGTATGGATCGAACTTCTTGTTAGTAAATCACCCGGAATGTCGTGTAGAACTCATCCCATATATCCCCATCTAAGTTTGCATCAAGTTGTCTCCGACGTAGACTGAAAACTGTTTAATTAAACGATTGATATGAGAGTGCAATGACACACTCCAATGTAGACTGAAAACTGTTTAATTACACGATTGATGTGAGGGTGCAATGACACATACTGCGTGTGCGCTTTGTGAATGTAGTCAAGTCTTACAAATAATGTTTTGGATACTCGTGTTCAACCATGCACATACTTTTGCAAAAGGTGGGTCAAGAAGTAACATACCGATAATGTTTCCGTTGATGTAGAAAGAATCTTTGCCTCGCTCTCAAGTTTCTCCTTCTCTTGTTTCGCACTCTCGGCTGATGCCTTCAAGGCGGTTTGTTTTCTAAGCCATTCCATAAGGATTTCTTGACGCATTTTATTGAAATCTTCCACGAGCTGTATATAACATATACAAGTTTCATGTAGGTCAGAAACCATTGGATAGAGAATAAAGACCAATCTAATTGAGGTTCTCCTCAGCTTACCATGTTTAAAACGCTCCAATAATAGTAAGTGAGAAGATTGTATTATTCACTAAGTATTACAATACTTATCTCCTACTAAGATGATAATTACAAAGGAAGAGTTTTATAATTACGAAGTATAAACTTATATCCATCTCATACTTTGTTTAAGATGGTCCAAAAGTGTAAAGGAGAAGATTGTGTTCGTTCAGCACTAGTTGGTACAATGATTTTAGACTATAAATAAAATAGAATGTAAAAGCCAACAGTAGTTGGTACAATGAATTTAGACTATAAATAACATAGAATGTAAAAGCCAACACGATTAGAACAAATATATTGACATAGATTGGTGGTAAAAGCTTCTCTATCATCAACATCCTCGACCAGTGTAGATGGACTAGTTGGAACAATGATTTCACATTATAAATGATATAGAATGGAAAAGCCAACACGATTAGAATAAATATATTGACATAGATTGGTGGTAAAAGCTTCTCTATCACCAACATCCTCGCCCTGTGAGATGACTCGACTAAACATTTTTTAATGTGTTATAATGAGATGATTACATGCATGATGGATATGGCTGACTCAGATAAACAAACCTTCATCTTTTGAGCTTCATGCTTCTCCAACATATTACGCTCCATATTATGTGCTACTTCATTAAACTGTTCTTCCCTTTGCTTGATGACGGCATATGCTTCTTCCCGTCTTCTTGCAATTTCCCGTTCTTTCCCAAGTGCTTTCTGAGCTCTGTTTCCAAATCAATGACAAAGATCATCAATTCTGAAAAGCAAAACATTTATCAACTGCATTAGAAAGACTGGTTGGACTACACACATTAGAAAAACTTCTCACATTGGTGATACTTACATTTTCTGGGTACTCTTTCCATATCTACTTACATATATATTACTATATTTCTATTTTACTTACATGTGTTTTTCTAACTCTTGTGTAATATTTGCAACCTGAGACCTCATGGTTTCCACCTCTTTGTTCCTCTCGATCCTCTCTTTCAACAGTTGTCTTTCATTACTCTCGAATAGTGCCCGAATCTTTCCTTCTCGAGCTAATCGTTCCTCTTCCATCCGCCATATATCACTCTTGAATTGTGCGTCCATCAATTTCAGCTGACATTTGCAACCACAATATCAACTACTGAAATGTAGATCACATCGTAGCTGCTGATTAATATTAGACAAAAGAACCGCATGCTGAAAGCTAAATAAAAAAGAAGGTTTTGTGTGTCAATATTAGACAAATGAATCACATGATAAAACCTAAATAAGAAAGAAGGCTATGTGTGGCAAGGGATCTTTTTGACCTACGTATAGTTTATCAATATGAATGAGATAACGGATGGATGAGTGGGTAACCGCACCTGCTCTGCATGTCTGTATGAGATATATTCTTCACGTTGTTTTTGTTCTTGCAAACCCATCTCAGCTTCTTTTAGCTGCAGAGATAGTAATGCCTTACTTGATTTGAATCTCTGATGGCTCTCAGCTATCTGATCAACCTCCACCAATTTAGCTTTTAGTTTGGCTTTTTCCCTTTCATGTTCCTGCGAATAAAACATTCCAGATTAAAGAAAACCATTGCAGAAGTGTCTTCTAGTGGGAATAGTCTAGAGCATCAAAATGTTGCGTACTCAGTATTGGTAGGAGATATTATAAGTGAAGCAAAACTCAACAGTCTGACAGTCTATCTATCGCAACGTAGAAGTTGATAGTGAGTTTAGTGTATTTAGCTCAATCTTAGATGAAGCTTTGAACATACTGTTCACGAATGGATGACAATTGCAGAAAAAAATCCATAATAAGTCCAGTATACAGAATGATGATTGTGTAAGGAGTTCGACCTCCTTAGATTTCTTGGACACAATCTTCAGTATCTCCCTTCTATTTTCTGCAGACCAGTTGATAAGTTTCTTGTGGGGATCAATGTTGATCATGTCCGATGGCTCAGCTAGATGACCAACCGGAACTCCAGGATCCATGGGCCATGAGTACAGATGTGGGTGCTGTACACTAAAAGGTCCCACTCCTCCCATGGCTGCTCTCGTGTTGTACCTAGGAGCGGATATATGAACGTTGGTAGGCATTTGAGAGGACAGCAGCTTAGCCAAACTCTCGACAAGCAGCTTTGCATTCAACAGTCCTAATTCTGAAGCAGGGAACATGACCAACATCCTGCCAGGTTTACCATCTGTGTTTTCACGGAGGGTCTTCTCTACATCCATAGTTTTAAACAAAGGAACATGGATATCGAGGCTTTCCTTATCCTTCATATTTGTAATAATGACTAGAGGAGGCCATACAATTAACTCCTCTGCCAATTTCCCACTATCGATCAGAACTGCCTTTTCTTCGGAGCGTTGATCATCAATAAGTCTAGGTCCCCTCTTCAGATGATCTGAAAGTGCTCTGTAATAAGCTCGATGCTGGACTAGTCTCCTCTTTTTAAACTTATCTGCATGTTGAAGGAGAGCTGTCCAACCCTTCAGTCTTTGGGGAAATGGACAGATCATGCACGCTTTCTCCTCCTTGTCCAACTGCCAGTTTTCATCCACGCCCATCTGGTTCATGAATTTCCTAACCTTCGGGAATAATTCTTGATATGTTCTGTCCACTCTGACCATGAAGTCTTCATCCGTTTCATCTTCCAATTCGCTGTCATCTTCATCATTGTCTGCTTCTTCATCGTCATCCCTTCTCCTCCGGGGATTCGAAGGCTGCTGGTGACGTAGAGATTTGGAGTTCGCAAAAGGATCTTTCACTGGAGGTGGTTTGTAAGAGTAGTCGATACTCCCAGGAATAAATAAATAAGTTGATGGCTTAATATCTTGCTCATCGTCTGAGTCGTCCAAGATACTACAAGAGAATGTTGGGGGAATAATACTGGTGGATACAGTTTTCGTAGCCACCTTGGTCTCTTCTGGTTCAATCCGATCGATTTTGGGAATCTCGGTGAAACACCTATGGGGTGACTTTCTCAAGGGAGAACTCTGCGACTCTGGTTTTGAAAGAAATTGCTCTTTAAGGGATGCAGGAGAAATGTCCAATCCAGGGGGTTGGGGCTCAGATGCAGACAGCTTTAGAGGTTGATGAGATGGGGCTACAAATGGGGTGTAATGCATCGGAGCCGAACGACTGGGTTGTGAAGAGGAGTGTGGGTAAGGAGTCAAGGGCAGCGGAGGATGGACAGGAAGGTTGAGCAATTGATGCTGTATTGGAAGCAGATTCAATGCCATCGGTGGATTTGGTAAAAGGCAAAGTTGAAACACTGATGGATGGGACAGAGTGGGGACAGGTACAGGTACTGGGAGATGCTGGATAGGTGGTTGAGGTGTAGTAGGGTGAGGAACAGCAGTATTGGTCGGATGAGCAAGAGCATGAATCACAGGTGGTGGTGGTGGTGGAGTCTGCATCTGGTACTCTACTTGACGGTACAGAATAGGATGTGACATCTGAACTGACAGTGGCGGAGGACCAGGAGGCAAGGGTGGAGGGAGTGGCCTTGATGGAGGCCTAGGTGTTCTCAGAAGACCACCCCAGTCGGGCATAGGATGAGTTCCAAGCTGGTGCATAACTGGTACCCTCTCATGGGGCCCTCGGAATCTTGAGTCCAAGGCGCTCATCTACAACACAAAGCTAGATTTAGTGTAAAGCTCGACGGATGTCCACTTGTATATAACTGACAAAATGTAAACAACAGTTTCAATCCAGTTCAATGAAGATTCAAATGGGTAAATGAACCACATTCCAGAGTCCTAATGTTCTGGAATGAAAAGGGTATTGGTATCTAGCAGACTGAATTGAATGAAAGCAGATTTGGCTTCATAAGTGCCAACTTGACGGGACCCAGAGCACCCTGATAACTAGTAACCTTCTCTTCTTTCAATTGCAAGATCATCTTCTTTATGGTGAGAGAGAGGACTCAAAGGCTGAGTAGCAAACCCTGTTCCGATCAGAAATTCCTTTAAAAAAATTCAGTTTCTAGTTAACAGTCATAGGAATGTGCGATACCTGAAACATTCGTAGCCTCACTCCCTGTACAGCAGAATTCTAACTTGACCCGATCAAAGATTTTAAATCTAGGTAGCTTGCTGGATGCAAGGCGCTAAAACGGCTTTAAGCAGAATTTACCTTGGTTGAGGTCTTTCCATGTCAGTAGTGTGCGAATTTCCCGTTAAAGATAGAAGAATTCAGAAGGTGATCAGGTTTACTATCGGACAATGACGGACATAGATGTTCGTGTAGATGTTGATGCTTACCTCTTTCTAGTTTACGAGTAGAATTCTCTAAGCTGTCCAGACATGCGCCGAATTATGAGGGTCGAAATTTAGTCTCCTGCTCCTACAGATTCTTTCTTGGTCCCAGGCTTCAGTATCCGGAATCCTGAACGCAACATGCACGGAATTTTAGCACTGAGTGCAACACAGGAGCTGATCCAATTTCATGATTCAAAGTTACTAGGAAGACGTGACACTAAAATAAGTCCAGCTTAGATTCTGATATGATTCGACGAGAAGACGGACATGAGTCCAAGAATTCTTTGCGGACATGTCAGAGAATAAAGTTTTGGTCCAACTCGAAAGCATCAAAGGTAAACACGTTCATTTCTTTTCTCCCAGAGCTCAATCTGCGAAGCAAGAGTTTCAGATATCCAATCTGCCGACAGTAGATGGCTATTACCGGTCAACAAACCGCATATTCTTGCTGTCGTCATCGCTGACGATATATACCTCTCAAACGAGACCATCACTTAAAGCCTATCAACTTGGAGGACAGCAAATTCAAATGTCTCTTACAACATACAGAGTCTAGCATTGGAGCGACCCAAGAAACTGTCTTCGATCGAGAAGGTATATCTCAAAAGTGGTTATCTGAGTGAGTAATTTAGCAACTTCTAATGGTTCTCTGCGCCACACGACATTTTTATCCTTTGTAATCGGAGCTGAACGCTCGCCATTGTAGTTTGCCATTTCTTCGCAGTTTCCGATTCGTCGAAAAGAACATTTTTCGCCTCTCGTTTTCTTGTTATACTAACTTCTTTGCTCATTCCGCGTGTATACTTCATATTCTTTCTGCAATCGAAAGTTCTAAGTGCATGTTGACCCTAGACGATTCTTGCTACCTACACAATTCACCTTGATCAGGGTGGTGGAAACGATGCACGAATATAGCATGCATGTATACAACATGCAAGGAGTTCATGATCGACACAGGTGCTTTGCGAAAAACTTTTAGGAAAGAATGCGAGGGGCGTGGATCGGAGAGATGTGATGCGTGGAGGTTAAGTGGACAACCAAGTTCTCACTCAACATAATGTCTTTAAAATTGTGTGTTCAGTCCAACACCAAGCTTGGAAATCGCGTGGAGGTAAATAAGACTGAAAGAAACAACCAAAAGAAGGAGAAGGGAGCCGAAGATCAAAAATAAAAGTATGTGTCGTGACGCCAGCTCCGACGGTTGAATATGACCTTTGAAAGCAGCACATTCACGCCCTTACCGTACCTGCAGTCTCAGATACATATCAAGAGCCAAAACCGCGAGTACTCGTTCAATTTTCTAAGTCGAACAGCTTCACAACGAAAGTCGAGTGTGCAGTCAGATCCAGAGGTCCAAAGTGCCAAGTCCAAGCGTGTTCGACGCGTGTTCGGAATGAGCTGCAGACTAGCGCAACTCCACGGGACGCGACGCCGGAGGCGAGTGGCAGCTTTCGCATCTTCGGAACAGACGAGCACTTTTTGCAGCAAGCTCACTTTCAATCCAGGTGTCAAATTGTGGACTCACTCGTGGGAAGATCCGCCACCCACCTCGACGTCTGTCAGCTCGCCGCGTCGTGCTCGCTCGCCCGCTCTCTCGCGCTCAGCGTTCGAGGCCTTCGGACGCCTTCCGCCGTGCTCCACGTCCGCGTCCTCGCTCAGGATGGCGCGCCCCGAACGGCTACGCAACGCGCTGCTGACGGACCGCGCCGCGCCGCGCCATCTCTGAGCTCCCTCCCTCCCTCCCTCACTTCAAGATCCAAAGCCATCGGTCCATCTGTCTGGAGATAGAACGGTCGAGAGAACTTGCTTGCGTTTCTTGCATTCGCAAGATTGTTAAAGCGTCATACAAGATCGATAATTTTCTCTTCTGTTAATTTGTGAGACCCGAGGTGATGCTGCACAATTCTTCCAGTTGTCAGTTTACTCTTGCTACTCACCCCAATAATCCACGGCGCAATGTGAGAATTGCTTCGCCACTTAACTGATGTCATTATCATGGACCGCAGTTTTCAAAACCGGGAAGAACCAATCTGAGATCGACTGATTTCTAATATTTACGGCGGAGTTTCTTAATAATTTATTGGGATTATTTGTTAAATCTCAGATAAAAGAAGCCAATGATTATATAATTATTCAAATATATTTTTGCATGAACCCTAGAAAATGTAAGTGCTTACGTAAGAAATTGATATTCAAGCAATGACTGCGCGAAAGATCTGAAATTATCTGAATGTCAAATCGACGAATCACATCATGGCAGCCATGCCACGTGTGCTCATACAAGTCCATGCAGACTGAAATCATGGCCCAAACGTCAAGGCCGGCATGTTCATGTCATACTCACCAGGTCGCCGTGTGATTTTCTTTAACACCTACCTACGTGGCGTTGTCGACGAGGCGAAACTGTGTAGGCCTGGAATTGACACGTCAACGGAAGTCGTTAAAATCAGGAGGCAGGTCGGGAGCCTTTCGGAAGTGCGGCCTCGACTTTGCAGGTAGAGCTTCTACCCAGCGCATTCGTTTGGGTCTGAACTCCGTCTTCTGAACACCACCCATCGTCCAATCGTCGAGAGGTGCTACTGTGGCCACCCCATGGTTCGTCCGAGGTTAGTTACAAGTCGATGAGGACTGTGGTAGCTTTACTCACCGCCCAACATACGACTGACTGGGTCTTGGGGAGATATCTGCATGGTCGATCGTCACGACGTACTGTGACACTGGAGTACGGAGTGAGAATCGATGTTGGGGATAAAAGTAAACCCACAGTTCACGAAGGTCCTGGGGAAACCAGATCACGCTCGGCGTCTCATTTGTTTGTCGGGAAGCAGGCGAGGATGTCGATATGGTACAAGGGTACAGTATGTGTATAGTACACCCCTCGTAGTCCATAACCTGCTGAGTCATCATGGCAAACATTCCGATTCAGAATCCCAGGACAGCCAGATCGGCTTCTGTGTGAGAGATGTTCTGTTAAGTTCGTTGGTTTTGGTTGGAGAGGCTCTCAGGCTCTGGACCCTCCATCATTACCGAAAGTTGGGACCTTCGCGAGTTTCCAGTATTATTATTCGCCCTCGGCTCTTGGCCCAGATGTGTCCTGGTCCGGATGGTAAATGCATTACATGAAGAACAGGTGGCAGAAACTGATTAATATGAAGCTCTGCGAGTGGAGTCTCAGGTTATGGTTCTCGTGACTTCGGACACTGATTCTTAGCAAATGTGCAGGTGAGTTCTGCTTGTCGCTGATTCGAAGGCGTTTGGAGAAGTACATTGGAAGGTTGGAAAGAGCTTCGACTTGGACTTCCCTTAACTGAACGTGAGGCCGGATTTGTGAAGCAGGCCTGGGATGCGATTGCTGCATCGATCCCCTTAAACTCGGAATAAACTATCCACTTTAGGTCCGTACAAAGCAGAGTAGGTCCATTGGGTTCAACGCATGACGTTTTCCACATGCACTCTATTCTAGAAAAGCTGATACAATATTAGGAGTTGGTAGCATGTCTTCGTCTTCGTTGTCTTGTAGAAAAACAAGTTTCACCTCAATCCTTAGAGTTAGGATATACTATGGCTGCACACGATGTACAAATATACACTACAAATCAAGTTCGAGATGTAAATGAGACCATAACTGAAACCAGCCCCCGACCAAAATTATGATATTCTTAGGCTACTATAACCATCTCTTCAAAAAATATTTTGAATAATAAATCTTGAATTTGTTCGATATATAATTTGAGAATTTTTAGAAAAGAAAAATCCATTTACAACTTGATAGAGTTACCTTGAGAAATAAGAAAAATCGAAGACATCAATGATACTGTCCAAATATATAATCAAATTTAACCAACTTTTTTAATTCTTTTCCCTCTTCTAATATTTTATTTCATTGAATATGAGTATAGTGATTTATCTATCATAGAACTTGATTCATAAGATTTCCAACTTGGAATAAAACTCGAAGCGGTTTTTACTTACTTGAAACTAGCGCCTTCGTATGAAATTGTGTGTTAACCTACTTTTTCTCTCATGTTTAGAGAGTAGACTGCTGATACTCAATCTTGAAACTGAATGATTACCTAAGAGCGGACTTCTTCATAGTGTACTACAGTGAGTCCAAATTTTAGTCAAACTGTTATCAAAAGCAACAAGTAGAAACAAAAGGCGTCTATCATCATTGATCATCACAACAAGTTTTTCAGCATGACACACAACTTGCCCAAATAATTCGTTGTCGGGGGTTGTTTCCGGTGAGTCAAGGATCTCTGGAAGCCTGCTAGGTTGTTATTCCCAACTCCGGGCTTGACAGTACAGCCCTCTTGTTCTGTACTTGTGATGATGTCGTCTGCAGTTGCCATGATTGGTGGTCAAACAGGCATTTCTTTGCCGAACTATGCATTTGAAATCTTCTTTTTCTTTTTAAAAGAACAGATACCCTATCGAATAATAAGCCTGCACATAATGAGAAAGTTCACCGTCTCTTGTGCTTGAAGTAAATGAAAAAGTCATCGAAAAAAGTCATCGAAATTATTGCAATTTTTCTAATCAGGTCTATCACTTCTGAATTATATTAAAGTTCGAGATGTGAGGACAAGACTTTGTTACTCTGAAATACTGCTCAATATCTAATTTCCAAATATAAACAAGAAAAATGACGTCTATTTTTGTGAAAAGCAGCTGAGACTAAAATTTTGAGAAAAATATAGTTTTAACTCGATTTTCTTCAATTAAACTTTACTTATAGTTTACAGCTATGGTATTCAAGTATTCCCAGAGAGACTGAATGCTCACTTGGACACCTGGGGATCATCCTCCTCGATGAACTTATTTCAAAGTGTGTATTTTATCTTTTCAATATGGAGTGGACTCGTTGTTGAAAGCGGACAACAAGCAAACGTCGGAGACACCCACCACCACCGCAATCAAACGACTTTCTTTTGGGAATAAGTGCTTCTGGTCTTTGTACAGGGTCATGCCGGAACGAGATGAGAAAATCCGAAGAAGTCTAGACTAGAGAACACCAATGATAACAAAATCATTTTGGCCAAAAACAGAAGCCATAATGTCCGATAGCGTTGAGTCCATAAATCGGCAAGCTTTTACAAAAGACGGAGGCGACTATAGCTAATTTATTTCTGAAGTTTTATAAGTTACATGGAATTAGTTTTATTAGATTCAATACTATTGTCAAAACTGACTTTGCATACGGTTGGCTAAAGGATGCTCTGGATGTGAATGATGGACTGGCTATCCGACACATAAGAAAAGAAATTTATCAAGTTCAAGAATGGTTTGAAATTCGGTTCTTGATGCATGTTTAATTTAATACTGTTTTTAATATTATACATTTAAAACTGAATATACTTTACATCCTAAATAAACAGTCAGACGATGAAATCTATTCATGTTCATGTTAGTGTTTTAAAAAAATATTCATGAAAAATAAAATTATTCATCTCATTAGAAAATGATATTGCAATTATGATATATATTTTCAATGATTGAAACCATTCAATGTTTAATGAAGTTCTTAAATTAAATTCTTAAAGTTCGAAATAATAAGTTTTTTACAAATCGAATTTTTTATTATGAGTATTTAGGTTATTTTCATAGTCCAAAAATAGTTAATCTGATGTAAAATTTTTCTATGTTTAATTTTTGAACCTGGAATAACTATTCACACAATATCTTTAAAATGATAATATGTAATTTTGAAATATAATTTTTGAATAATTTCTATGAGCATGCTAAAACAATTTTGACTATCAGATTGAAAATTTTTAATTAAAAAAGAAAGAGCCATTTATATCATAAATTCTATTTCCAAATATATTTATTGAAACTTATTAAATAATTTTGGTCGATAATTTTTTTGTTAAAGTATACAAACTATTTCATCATATTCATCTCTTGATCTAAAAATTTTTAAAACAATTTGAATTTTTTTTCATACACTCTCTTTTTATATCATATAATTTCATATTTAACTTAAGTTTAAATCTTAGTTAAAAATTTCGTTCATTACAGTTTAATTTGATTGATTGTATAATATTTCAATTATAATTAGAATTGCACATTGCTTGTTTTAAAAATTCTATGGAGTTCTTCCAATTTTAACATATTCAATGTTAAACTAAATTTCTTCTGAATCAAACTGTAAATTTTTATTTTTTGCTATATTATTTACAATAAATAACATTAATTTTCATACATATAAGCAATATATTATATTTTGTAAAATGCTCTTGTATCTTAAATTTCAAAAATTTGATACTTTCAAATGTGTATTTAGAAAATTGATAATTAAATTATCATAAATCTGTGAAAAATATAATCTTATTAGAAATATTTATTTTTATCTAATTTAAATTAAATTCACATGATGATTATTCATGAAATATTACAACATTACAACATAGGTTTTTTGATATAATGAGTGATTATAAATAGAATAAATTATAAATCTAATCATAATTTAAAATCTACTTCAAGTTATAACAATGAAAATACAATTTGCTGAAAATGAAACAAAAAATATCAAGCTGAATTTTTTTTGTAATTTTTTGTTATGACGCCAACAATCCATCTATTGTATAAATATATTTTCAAGTGTATTTATTAAAATGATAAAATATGACTATATTTGTATTTTAAATAAAGATTAAGTATGTTAGTCAATGTGTTATTTGAGTACAATTATTCAAAATAATGTATGCTTATTGCCATATTATATATTCATGAGATTTAGGTGGGATAGAAGTGATGAGATTTCTTTTTTGGAAATATTTTGAAAAAGTTGTAAGAAAATTATAATTTATTGTGAATATCATTCATCTTCAACGATAAATATCATCTCTCAAATGATACTACTTTTGCCTCTACAATGATATCATGATATAAGAATTTCCTTGTTTGTTTTTTGAATGTAGATGACTATCTTTCATGGATAGAAATAAAATGGTAATGAACTTAGTTCTCCAGAATTGTTTGAAAACTATGATCACTAATCTATATGTAGAGTAAAGAAAAAGCAAAAAATATGATTTGTAATGGGCAATGACAAAAATAGGACAATAGAATATAACATTTTTTATTCCATAATCCGTAGATCTGAATGTCACACAGATTTCCTAAATGGTGTGGACTTTCATCTCTTTCAGTTTGATTTTTTTTTTAAAATTTTGTGATGTATTGCAGAGCAATATTTACAACTCTAATACTGAAATTAAAATTTCACTGCTTTTTTATTTTAAAAAAATTCATGAATCTTTACTATTCAATTTTGAAACTCAATATTACGGAATTTGAATTGTATATTATTCAATTTAGTTTGATTCAACACGTAGAGGTAAGTATAATCTACTGAAAAATTGTATAAAGATTTTATTGTGAAAATTTATGAATAAGATTCTGGTGTAGTTATTCTAAAATCAGCTCTACATTATGTGTTTTGATAAGAATCAATTAATTATCATACAGTCATTATATCAATGTACGTGGATGAAAAACATACGAGCATTATTTAATATGAATATATTTTAAATGCAATCATGAAAAAATTAATATGATAAAATTAATACAATGGTTATTATGAAAAGTAATGAGTTAGAGAAAATATTTTTTTGAAAAATAAATTTTGAAATCTTAATGGTTAGTGATGATGTTCAATCAAGAGTTAATTTCTTGAAAACTGTACAACTGAATTTTAAACAAGTTGTACATATTTTTTGCTAAAATAGGAATATGCAATTATCTAAAATAAATAAATAAGATGGAATCATCAAAGTTTAAGTCTAATTTTACTGATCTTTAATGTGTAATGATTACTAAAAACATTCAAAATATTGAAATAATAAAGTTCAAATTCACGTCAAAATTTTTCTTCTTCAAATTTGATAAGTTAATTTTAAGCTATAAAAGATATTCAAATAAAAAAATTAAGGTCGTAAATATTAAAATATGAAATATTTGATTCAATCTGAATGATGTATGTCATATGAATCAAGTTGAAAATCAGTTAAAAAATCTAATCAGTGTATCTTTTATGGTTTATAATTTTAACCGTATATTTGTAATTAGAATTATGAGTTTAAAAGAAGGTGGATTTGTTGCAATCTTTGGTTAGTTAGAATTGTTGAGGTTAACTCCAGTTAAGGAGTAAACTCAGGTCCTAACTATATCTAGCTAGAATGGTCTCATGGACAAGGGTTAAACACATAACTTTTGTCTATACATGATGTATGTCTTGTGTGAGAAACATGAAATAAAGTGCAGGGTGTTTCCGGTGGACATTGCCACGGCACATAGCCTATGACTTGGACTGGCTTGAGTGTGTCGTAGTGTTTCCTAGACGCACAAGAATCAAAATAAAGATTATTCAAGATGAAGACATGTGATATCAGGTTGATTTTTTGTGATTGGTTTATGATAGTCACGTCATTACAGATATTTATTATATTTGAAAGTTGATATGTTTTTTCTTATCATAATATTAGATAAAATTATCTTAGAAAATACACGTTATATAGTATTTAAATTATGATTTTTCATCTTCTTTAGAAAAATATGACCATTTCAACCAACATCTCCTCATATAAAAATCATCCATTTATGATATTTCAGTCTTAAATAAAAATAAAATATATGTCTTACATAGTTGTTCAAAATTTGAGACTATCTTAACACTCAATATGATATTATTTCACTTTCTTATTTTGTAACATTGTAAATTAGTTTCCTAACTTAAACTTAGAAAATGATAGGCTGGTGTTTTTTTAATCACTTTAGATAATGGTTGATTTTTATCTATATTCTTTTGAAGTAAATCTATCCATATATGTAAAATGTATTTGACTACTTTTGAACTCTCTTATTTTTTCCATTTTTAATTTTCTGAATTTTTTTTAGTTTATATCTTTCCTATATTTTGTGCTTTTTGTTTACTCCAAATGATACAGTTTATGTATATGAACAAAGATTTCAAATGCAGTATTTTCAGCTCATGATGAAGATTTGTTTAACGCTGGTTCCATATAGATGTAAAAATTGTATTAATTGAGAAACCAGTCCTAAATGCAATTGAGGCTAATGCCAAGAATACTCGTGCGTGATTCAAAGCGATGTCAAACAAAGGAGGACAAAATTATATGTAAATCTAATCCTTGTATGTTTAAAACAAATTCTTTGTTTGAAAGGAGCTTCAAACTTGTAAAAAATGTGAAGATATTACGAACCATGGATTTTCAACACACTTCTGCAAGAGTGTCTGGAAAATGTAATCACAATCTTTGCAATAGCAATACGTTCATATTGAAACCAAGAGTAGAAAAATGCATGTGATGTGATATGTCCACAATTACAAATGAGATATCCCTGTTGATATCATGGAATATTAACATATAATGGCGAGACTGTGAGTGACGATAAATTGACCGTGGTGCAGTTCAAATAATAATGATTTTTGTAATAAAATGATTTTTTCAATTTTTGGGGGCCATATTAAAATATGGTTTCAGCTATGTAATGCTCGACAGGGAGGAAATAACTTTATGGGATTACTGTACTCGGAAACTCAAACCTCTTGATGAGACCCAACGGGTTTTATTTTAACGATGGAACCCCACTCGATGACCATACAACCCACCTTTGGTCTTATTCCAACCAGCAACTGGATCATGATTAGTAGCAATCTTCATCTATTCGCCTGTCACTTACAGCACCAGTGTAGCCATCGAACATTCACACCCTACTGCAAGAATGTACGTTTAGACACAAGACTAGATGCAAAAGATATGTCCACATTTACAAATGAGATATCCATGTTGATATCATGGATATCTTAACATATAATGGCGAGACTATGACCGTGGTGCATTTCAAATAATAATGATTTCTTCAATGTTATATTTTTGGGGGCCATTTAAAAATATGGTTCATATCAATATGCGTCCTTACTCGAGAGTTTCGGAAAGATGGCTTTCTAAGCATGCATTCCGTTTCCAAAATCCTATTGAATTAGAAAGAAGAATCACCGGCTCGATCAATTAGCTCGAAAGCCACGGGCACCATGAGTTCTTAGTTCGAAGCCATGTCGAATAGAGACTTTCACCATCATGAGTCTGAAGTACTCGTGATGTGATTTTGCGGGGATTTCATGTTACTACCTGAAATAACCTTGTATCTTATTGGAACATCACTTAAGCGGGCTATGAAACCTGTTGGGTAACATCACATGTTTTGAGTTTCCCCGGGATGTCACGCTATACAGGGCGAGCCATCCTTTTCGCTATATAATGTTTACGGTTTATTCCATGTCTTAAATGAAACTGGTAAATAATCTAAACGGAATTGAAATCGATGGAACAAAGAGGTAGTCATTAGATACATTTAGATAAAATAGCAACGCGAACTAAAATCTGTTCGTACTAATCGCAAACATCGCTCATCGGACGGTACAAACCGGGGCTCATCTCTATCGTGCAGCATCTTCGAATCGCTCGCGGATGTGCGGAGACTGTTTTAGTTGAAGAGATTGCCTCGACTTGTCGTTTATGCTTTAGCTTCATCTTCCCATGAAATTGCGCCGCTTGCACGTATCCAATGAAATACTGTACTAATTATCCGGGCACCTGGAGTCATTCGACGAATCTAGGAAGAGAGTAACAAGCGTAGTTACATTGGAGCGAGAGTGAGTAAATAGCTGAAGCAAACGAGGATGTCGAACCCGACGGAATACGTTACGACGGGTTACGACGTATCCCGACGTAATACGTATCGGCGGAATACGTTACGACGTTGACAACACAGTCTTCGGGACGGTCTCGACACTCACCACAGTCGGCGCGTACTGCGGATTCGGGACGGTTCTGGTCCGGTCCGGCGGCAGTCCGAACAAAGAGCGAAGCCACTTGACACGATTCAGGAGGAGACGAAAATCCAGGCGATAAGGAGCTCGCGACTCTGTTTTGACGACGACGCAAGCGGAGGAGGGCGTCAGTGTCCCGATCCGACGAGCGACGAGATAATCTAACGGATCGAGAGAGTCAACGGCCCTGGGAAACACCTGGGACCGCATCCTCGCGGGCGAAGAAAACGGAGGGGAGGACGAGAGGAGCGAAGGGAGGGCGGGACGAGAGAGAGAGAGAGGCGGGCGCGCCCGTCAAACGTCCAGACGAGGGGAGGGGGCGGGGTGCGGGGGCCGATGAAGCTTTCAACGCAGAAAGGCGGGGTGGGGAGGGAACTGTCAGCTACGGAGGGACGGAGGCGCGCGGGGCCGCGGGCGGGAGGAGACGAGCAAGAAGAGGCAGGCGGGCGCGCGGGGGGGCGGCCGCGGGTGGGCAGGCGGGCGGGGGGCTATGGAGACGATGAAGCTCGTTGCTGAAGTGCGGAACGGAGACAGCCGAAGGGCCGAAGGGGGACAGCTGAATGTTTGCAAGGGGAGGCAGAAGTGGAAGGGGAGCGAGCAGCAGCAGGAAGAGGAGGAAGAGGAAGCGGAGCAGCAGCAGAGGGAGGGAGGGAGGGAGGGGAGGGGAGGGCAGGGAAGGGAAGGGGAGGGAGGAGCAGGACCACGACGAAGAGAGCGACGGGCGGCGGAGGCTCAATAAGGCACGGGGTGCGGAAGGAAGGCTATGTCTTCCACTCAAACAGCGCTGGAGGTCGGAAGAGTGCGCGCTTCGGTGGGCGGGGCTGGAGCAGGAGCGGCGGCGGCAGGGGCAGCAGCAGGCGGAGGCGGAGGCCCTCTTCTGCAGCAGCCGAGGCGCCTCGCGGGCGGGCAGGGCCCTGCGCAGGGCGGGGCGGGATTGGGCGCAGGCGCGGCCTCGAAGGCCGCCGATGCAGCGGCCGCGCGCCAGTCGAGCATCGCCAACCTGTTCGGGGGCTCGGGGTTCGACGGCTCGCGCGATCACTTGGGCGATGTCGGGTTCAATTCCGGCAGCGCGCGGAACGATGCGCACGACGATGGCGGTGCGGGCGATTGTGACGAGGACGAGGACGAGTACGAGGAGCTTACGAATGAAGCGGGCAAGAGAATCCGCAAGAAGAAGAAGCAGTTCAAGCGCTGCTTCCGGGCCATGTGGCGGGTGAAGCACCCGTGGGTCATCGAGATCAGAGCGCCCAACGATCTCACTGTTATGAAATGTCAGTACTGCAAGGAGTTCGGGCTCAATAATCCCTGGGGCAAAGGGGAGGGCTGCAAGACCCTGCAATTGTCCGCGCTTAAGACTCACGAGGTCTCCCACGGCCATAAGAAAGCCGCCGCGGCATGGGCCAGCCAAAATCAACAGAATGAGCACGGAGGAGGCGGAGGCGGAGGCGGAGGAGGAGTCAGTGTGCACTCCATCCAATCGAACAACACGAATTTAAACCCTGGAATGAACCTTCTCCAGCCGAACTCCTCGCTGTCGATTCCGGGATTGCACCACCAATCGCAGCAGGCGCTCTATCCCTCCGAGAGCCCATCGGTCGAGCTGCAAGAAGGACCGATAATTAGTGTCATTCAGTTGATGTATTTTACCGCCTCGCACGATCATGCCATCCAAGATTACGAGGCTCTGTGTAAGTTGCACAGGTTTATGGGAACTCCCGGCATGCCCGTTCATGATGAGTACTCTGCCTACACCAGCGTTAGGGCGGGCAAGGAGTTTCTCTGGGCCTCGAGCGAGTTTTTGATCAAAGGGCAGCAAGCCAGCATCACGGGGAGCCCTTTCTTCTCTCTATTTATTGAAGAAGGTATAGATAGGGCTTTTGAACAGCACGTGATAGTTTACATAACATATCTCTCGGAAAAGGGTTCTGGCCTTCCCGTTGTGGAATTTGTCGAGCTTCTGGAGATCGCGGACAATTCGCCTCAAGCAATTTACAATGCCCTCGGCGATTTGCTCTCCCGAAAAAGGTTGCAGCTGTCGAAGCTAGTCGCCATCTGTACTGATGGGGGTTTCATCATGACTAGTGCTAGGGAGGGCCTGGTATCAAAGTTGAAACGAGACGTTCCCCATTTGCTGGAGATTCACTCCATAGGGCATAGGGAAGCTCTCGCTGCCGGCGATGCCGCGAAGTTGCTGTCAGAGCTAGACTTCGTCGATACTTTCGCCAGCAAAGTTTACGAGTGGGCTGGACGCTCGGCGAAACGGCATTCAGAACTGTCGGAGCTGCTGGAAGCTTTTACTCAAGGAGTGGTGGAAGTCGTCCAAATCCACAGGATTAGGTGGTTGTCCCGGGCCCAGGTGGTCGAGAAGTTGGTACAAGTGATGCCAATAATTTTGGAAAGGTGGCAGGTCGAGGAAGTGGAGTGGTATGCCATCGCCACTTCGTTCCAGCTGCAGTTCTGTCTCAATCTACTTGCTGATGTTCTGTGTGATCTCAACAAACTCAACAAGAAGTTCCAAGAGGAGAAGGTTGAGCTTACAGCCATAGGAGCACAGTTGGACGTCACGATTTCTGCCTTGAAGAGAAGATTTCTGCGAGGATTTGAGGAATTTGCCCAAGGAACCAAGTACTTGAAGGAGTTCTTGAAACAAGCGGATGGGGGAGAGTTACAGTATGTAGATGGAGAGGGCACTTTGCACCAGCATCGTCTGAGGTTTGAGGCTATGCCTGGATGCAACAGAGGAGGATCGATTGGCGACTGCAAGATTCTCGGACAAGAGTACATAAGGAAAGTGATAGAGTCCCTGAATGAGAGGTTTCCTGATAACCATACTTACAATGCTGCGAAGATATTTAGTCCGAAATATTATCCAGGTGACGAAATTGAAAGGGAAAGGGTAACGTCCCAGTGGTTGGAGAGACTGCTGGAAAAGTTCGGCTCTCATGATTTGGAAGAGCCATTAGTGAATTCCGAGAGGTGTAGGCAAGAGCTCCCAGAGTTCGTCTCAATGCTGGCTAGTTGTTGCGAGAGAAAAGGTATGGTCGAAGCCTGGACTTTCTGCGGAGAAGTAAAAGATTGGTACGCTAGTTGGCCTAACTTGATGCATCTATGGCAGATCGTTATGGTCATTCCCTCTAATACCATTGCCTGCGAACGGGGCTTTTCGAGACAACACTTAGTTAGAGACACAACCAGAACACACCTAAACCTTAAAACTCTAGATGCGTCCATGAGAGTGTCAGTCAATGGCCCAGACATGAGTAAAGTAGATTGGCGGGCTATCTTCGAGATATGGAAGAACGCTAAAGACCGTCGGCCTCTCAGGTTAGAATAATCATGATAGTGAAGTTTCCCGGAGGTAGCCTTAGCGTCTGTACATTGTAAAAACCTGTCCCGGTTCCGAACTTGTATATTTACTCGAAGGTGTACCGTCAACTAGTCCTAGACATAATCAGATCGCAGCAGGATGAAAGTACATTTTTTACATAGTGGCAACTACTACCGGGGTCACTCAATTTTGAGTTTTACTCGCTGTGTAAAGTACACATGCATCATATCAGAGTGCATGGCTTCCAATCTGACACTTTGTAACAACTTCGTATGTATCCTCGCTGTGACTGTGGCTTGATTTTCTCAGGGAATGACCTGAATCTGACTGGGTCTTGTTGAGAACTGATTGAGTTGGATAGCTCCAGGTCATTTGCGAAGAATCTTTGTGGATCACTTGAAAATTTTGGAGACGAGCGTGTCTCCCAAGTTGCTTTAGTTTTGAGGTACTGGTCATTGACCTGAATCTGAAACCTCCGTCCAATTACCAAAATCAATACCCGTCCGAGGATCGCTTTCTAAACTTCCGGATTCAGGCGTCAATAGACACCTGTCGTCCGAAATATTGTTTCACCAAGGAAGTCTGGTGAGGCCTTTACAGAAATTGAATACGCAAAGACCGAGGACCTTACAAAATCAGGCAGATGGAAGTTTTTGAGAAGCGCCTAGAATGGAATTGTGGGATGGGAATTCAGATGAAGACTTCTTACCCAACACCGTTAAACTTGAAGTATAGCTTCGAAAAAGCGGACATTGTAATTCAGTAACGGTTCTAGAAAGCTGCACCAAAAGAGGAACCACCTGGTACTTGTTTATGGTGGGCGACAAGAAAATTACTTACACATTGTCTTGCTTGAAGCCCAATGTAGGTTGTCAATGTACGCACGGTTGATCCTCTCGGTTACAATTATAAGTCTCGTCTTCTTTATGAGGTAGTAAGAATTATCTGCCGACGTAAGGAAATATTCGATCAGGGACTGATCATTCCTGACGATAATGTTTCTGAAGAAGAGATGAACATTAAATGAAATAATTTCTATTTTCTTCATGTTTCAGAAGGTTCAGAATTTTATCTCTTTTATGCACTTTTTACCGTCATTCTTAGATAACTTGGACCCTATTCGCCATACCAACTGAATCTTTCCTTCATGGAGCAGGCAAAGAAAGTGGGACCAATTGGCAGAGGTGCGAATGCCTTTTATTCCTTGACCTCAGACTGTCCCAGACAACTAGGAGAGCTTGGTTCATTAGAAGCTACTGGTTTTTATCGTCTTACCAGGTTCACTTTGATCACAGTTTGTTATCCCAATATGATATTTTCATCCTTACTTTCCAAGGTTTCTCTCTTCTTGGTCATCTTTTGTTATAAATGTGAAGTCCTTACGTTGGGCTTATTTGTGTCCAAAATGCCCAGTCTGCAGGCACATCCATACCCAGGTTTGGGTAGAATAAAACCTCATAATATAGATCACTATTTGTCAACGTCTCATTTAGAACATTCACTGAGTTTCTTGTAGCTAAGACGAACGCCATTCTCGAGGTAAATCTGAGCAGGTAATCGAGACCTTCAAGTTGTCGATAAGCGAAGAGCCTGTTGTGCGTGCCATGTAGGATTGGAGGCGCAACAAAAAATTTTGAGTCATGCCCATCGTGCCTAATACGGGCATGTCAAAAGACATGCCCTTATTATAGTACGTACATGTGACATGTATCATACAATATACTTCTATGGAAATAAAACACTCTTAGAAGTAGAACTGTCGAAAAGATGCACTTCTCAGGCTTTTGTCAGTTCACTAAAGTTCAAATGCAAGAGTAATCATGAGATTATGCCTCGACAGACAGGGAAAATAACTCCCTCGACGGTTCTTTTGGTTTCTCTCCATTTGCTTCAATGTATGATACAACTTCACGAAGGCGTTTACCACGGCGTAGAGCAGTTTCCTCCTGAACTTGCATGGTTTACCGTATGCGATGTTCTCAAAACAAATTGTTCTATCACGGTGAGCATACAACAAGTACATACTGCTCGTGCAAGTTTTAAGATAATGTAATCTTCAGACCCAATAAACTAGTAATTAATTTTCTAATAAACAAAAATATAAGTACTGGGAGGGGCCACCGAGCGACGTCCAGTTTTAAGTATTTATATTTTGTGACTTATCCCAGCGTCTATAGCTTTGGGAGATATGTATAAATTCGTTGGTCAATAGGTGCATGCCATATATGGAAGAATGCGAATGGGGTATGCATTGAGGTTGTGACTCGAATCCTAGTGCCATGTCATGTTGTGAGTTAATCATTAGCTGTAGGTTGACTATATTACTCAATTCTTTGAATACACTAATTTAAATATGTAGGTTTATAGGTAAATGTGTCAACAACACGGTTAGTAAATCCTAGTGTCATGTCATGTTGTGAGTTAATCATTAGCTGTAGGTTGACTATATTACTCAACCCTTTGAATACACTAATTTAATTATGTAAGTTTATAGGTAAATGTGTCAACAACACGGTTAGTAATACCTCAGTTTAAATTTATTATCTCTCACACAACTATATTCTACGGAGTAGAGTTTTGGACTAAGGGCTGTAAACCTGTTTGTTATATATCTATGAGAGTTCGCCTTTCTTTTATAATTTTGCAAATGGATTTTATGCCTCTATCGCTTTTCATCTCATCTTACATGTAATTGGAGGAACCGACGGTCGAGACAAATCGATTCGATGCTAGGTACAAAAAGTTTGTCATGCAATCTTGACATCCATGATCCAATTTCTCGAGCAAAAGCTGCAAGTTTATGTCTGACGGTGAATTGAGCATCGATGATCGATCGATGCGCAATTCACCGTCCGACATATACTTTGAGCAATCGCAAAGTTGTACTGAATATATGATCTCGGCGGGAAGATGATGTGTGCAACACCAACGAGGTCGTGGGTGCCAATGGGAGGTGGGTAGTAATTCCTCGACGTTGTTGACGAGCGCAGAGGATGAGAATTCCCAAGGTTCACATTTGGGAAAAAAGAAGAATTGACCCACAGCTCCCAATAAATCTCAGGCAACGGCATCAGTCTCGGAGGTCCCCTTGTATCTAAGCATTAGTTCTCCTTTATTTACTATATTCACTATGACCAATGACAGAGGTTTCTTCTTTAGAGTGAGAGATTATTAGTCTGAATTGAGAAATAACTAAACACTCCCTACTTTAATCATCTATCATTTCATCTATGATAATCTCAAGGGGATGTATGATATCTACAAACATTCTAAACATCATGGAATGCAAGTATGGTTTGAGTATCTTACATTCATAATGATATGACATTAACTTGTTCTTTTATTTATTGGACTACATGTTTTTAGTTTCTCTTGATGAAATATGAATTTGAGCATACTTCATATTAATGAGTCACTATATTTGGAAGAATAAAGTTACTTTTACAAGAATTGTGTCACATATGCTACACTCAACAACAATCTATCATTCAATGTCATAACCTATACTTAAGATGCGTTAATCAATCACAACTTTAAAAGGTTGAATATCTATGGTCATGGATGAATGGAAGTTGAGTGCGTGATAACTTTTAGAGCTTCAAGTATGTACATATGTATAGATTTTATCATTATTTTACTTCATCTTTTGAGTTATACAGAGTTATGAACAAAAAATTCTACAAGTTTGTTGAAGAATTTAAGAAAATCCACTAAATTTAGTAATCTAAAAATGTGTTAGTATTGTCATAGAAGTACAAAAATCTTAAGTTACTCTAAGACAACCAAAATGATACAGGTATAGAGCACAACATAAAACTTGCAAAAGTATCATACTCTGATCCAATTTTCTTTCAAAATCCTACATCTTGATTGTTAAAAAAATTCACATGATTAGTTTTATGCAACATATGATCAATTTTGAAGTATATATCAACATTTTTTTATCCTCTATTACACAATTGAAATTTTCAGGTGTATAAATACATTAGGATTTGGCATCAGAATTTATAATTCGTCAAGTATGGCATATTTTATCATACATGTCTTATTATTCATTTGGTATTTTAAATGTCTCATTTTTTTTTCATAGTATAATTTATATTCAGCTCATTTAAGTTTTTAATTTTTTTAATATAACTCATGATGCTTAAATGATAACCAAAAACTATGATTGGATATATTTAAAATATTAAGTAAGAATAATTTTCACTTGATACCATAAATTTTGAAATGAAATTTTTTATATCATGTTCAAAAAACTTGGATAAATGTGAATATCTTCTTGAATTTTTAAAGTTTGGTGTGAATTTTAATAACTTTGATGACATGCTTTCAAAAACATAAAATTTGAGATATGAATGAATTAAAAAAATTGAAGCTAATAGATGAATCAATACTTATAAACAATTATTCAAGTTGATAAGTGAAATTTCAAATCTTACTTTTGAATTATATGATTATTTGTAATAAAAGACTTAATTATAAATATTTCTTTCAGAAATTAATAATTTAATATCCATAATTGATTTTTAATGCAAGGTGGTAGCTTCAAATTTATGCAAATAGCTAAGAAAACACTGTTGCAATAATTATCACTAATTTCATAGAGTAATTAAATACCATTTTCAGTTTCTTTAGTCTAATAAAGAGATACTTAAATACAGTTATCATATGAAACACAAATTCTTTAGATTTGAAAGATTGTAGAGGAATGATTTGATCAATACAATGACTGTTATTTACTGAATTACACATAATTTTTTTCAGGAAATTTCATGATTTGAAACAAATCTACATAGTTGACACTTTCCAATTAATTACATGAAGCAAAAATTGAGATCAAAATCAAAATCAAAATCAAGAAAAAAATTCTATGTAAATTTTGGCTGGTTGTTAAAATGCTTTGCTGTTGGGAAAAATTAATTTTCAATAACTAGATCGGAAGTAAAGGAGCAATGAGAGAAAGAATTGATATAGCCAAACACCAAAAATTATTCACTCTTAAATGAAACATTTAGAGACTTCAAGTCTTCATTATTTAAACATGTGACTAATAACGGGTGAGAGCAATAACAAATTTATATGAACATCCATGATATCATACAAAATGTGCTAATTGTTTTCTAGCATGAAAAAAATTGTCACATGAACATTATTTTGATGTGTTAAACGGATTTTATATTTTTACAAACATAAATATGTACTTTCTTCAAAAAGAAATATGTACTTTTGTAAAGAAGTTGATTATGCTTCTTAGATTAAGTCTTCTTTTTGATAAATGGAGAGGGATCACATTATTTATGATATTATGTATATCATGTTCTTGTG